TAATAAATGCTGTCACCCTGACCAAACCCCAGCCTACATAGCTTTCTTGCTAGGCATACACTGGTTAGGTGCTGTGCCTCCGCACAACCTTCTCCTGCTTGGGGCTGGACATCTCATACTATTTTAGTGGTACACATATTGAAATGTTGTGGGCAATATGCTTTATTCAGTGCCAGAAAGGCAAGAAACAACTTATCTGGGGGATAAGTTGTTGTAACACGCTACTTCCTCACTTCTCAATTCCCAAGTCATGTATATGGTCAGTGCAGTCACGGATTTATTTCCCAGTTTGAGTTAATCATTCTGCTGTCATTTATGCAGTGTTTAGCCAATATTCAGCACTTTCAAACCTTAAGTCCTGTCCTTCATGCTCAGCGTAGCTGTTCGCCAGTGGTAGCCCATACCGATAGGTCTCCACGCTCTCGGCTGGTTCGGCCTTTGCAGGGATTGCATCATGCTGGTAGAGCAACGCTGACTTGATCATCCCAAAATCTTCCTGATTCTTCATCCCTGAATAGATAGCACCTGAGACGTTTTCAGCCACGTGGGTATAGCTCTGAAGGTTGTTCATATCGCAGAGGTTGTTGCTGCATTTCAGCGCAGATGGCTTGTAGGCCCGGTAGGACACTTTTGTGGTAGTCGTGATGACAGTTTGTAACGGTGGGGCTATGGGAGAGGGGCTGGTGCCATACCTGCTGGGGTACTCACCACCATAATAAGGGTGGTTAGCCCTTGTTTGCATCTGACCATAGTCGCTCCTTTCTCTGCTGGCAGTTTTCCCCCAGACTGGTTTCAATCCGTAATGCCTACCAGTATTATCAAAGCTCTTGTCGTTGCTGGCCAAAGAACTATAGTGAGATCCATTCAAATTGATGGGGTCAGCGTCAGTGGGAGGATTTGTTAGATCTTTGTATAATGATGGGTAAGCGCTGGAGCTTATAAAAGTAGGAACTCCAAACTCATAGCTGCACGCTCTAGGCACATAGATCCTTGGATTGGGGCACTTCTGGTATGGTGATAGCTGATCCTCTTGGAAGCTGGCTGAGTCATAAGGCGCTTTGTAGAGGTCAGCGTTTTGTGGCCAGGGGTAAGACTGAGTTGGAATTGAAAAACTGGTGTCTGTGATGATGCTGACTCTTTCTGGGCCATCCATGCAGGGCAGATTCTGCATGTTATTGACGTAACCACTGCTATCATGGTATTTTCCCACCTGGAAAGGATGAGATCTTTGAGATTTGGGAATGGATACCACCCACATACACATCCTGACAGTTGCACTATTGCTCATTTCAGTCCCAAGCAAACAGCTGTAGCATGGTATAAAGCTTTGTTTTGCCTTGGGCATACATGTCAGTATGCATCTCTGACACCTCTCTAATTGACTGAAAACCTTGACTTACCTCCGAGTTTAGAGGTCTCTTTTTCTGGGAATGGTGAGAAGAGGATATTTGCTTCTTAATTGCACTTCGCCTTGCCTCTGCCTCCAATTTACTCTCTGGCCTAGGGTGGTCGTGAACTCCTTTAGCCTAAATAAGGATAATCAAAGAACTAGATGCAAACTGGAAGGAGGTAAGAGAAAATAAAATGCAGTAGTAGAACGAGAGAGAGAGAGAGCAAGAGGCCACATAACCTGTGGCCTGGCACAAGAGAGCACAGAGAAGAATCTAAAGAACAAGGGGGGATTACATTTTAGAAATGAATAAAGCCCAGCTGTGCCAGCTGTGACCTGCAGGTAGACAGAAGTAAGAAGTGTGGGAGAAGAAATCAGAGATGACTGCAGACCTGCAAGACTGGGTGATGAAAAAGCAAAGCTGCTACCCATGTCTGTGACATTCAGGAACAGCTGATCAGAACCAGGGGAGTGGGGGGATGCATTATAAATTTAGTTTAGTTGGTTGACTCCAGGATCCTAGTTCTGCATTATAACATCCGCCACTAAAATGGCAACAACATGCTTGAAAGAGGTTTCATGCTAACGGATGACAGGTATTACTTACTTTGAAAATGATAACCACATTTTGGAAATCTATACCCAGGAAAGCCATCCAGAGATGGTGTGCTATTGAAGCTGCTGTGGATACACAGACTTATGTATGCAAAACTATATTCACATATGACGAAACAACGTATGCTACATGTACTTACCCATTACACTTTCCAACATGGACTTTCAGGTAGTCCCTAATACAAACTAGAAAACTTAAAACTATTTTTAAAATGTCCTCATTCAAATGCAAATTCCAAGTGAGAATTTATCAACAATTTTTATCAAAATCTTTTCAGTTTTTGCATTTTTATGATGCAATGTCTGAATAATAACAATTATAAATAACAGGTGAGAATTAGGGAATGTGGCCGATTTGCTTCCATTTACTGATAGGAAAAATAGAGTTCACTGGAGTCTGGGGAGGAAAAAAAGCCCCAAATCCAGCAGAAAATGTAAGCTCAGAGCAGAAGGGTTTGGTGAAATTTTTGTCCTAGTACTGCTAAAAAACAACAACAAAAAACACACAGAAACATCATCACAGAGTTTCAAAACCGCCTTCTAAATACCCTTTTTCTGGTGAGCTTTTAAAACCTTTTAGAATTCAAAGTTGTTTTTTTTTTTTTTTTCCCATATGTAGCAGAATTTTTGTTTGAAATTATGCAGTTTAAATGCTTTCATTTCCCCATTTACTTATCTTAGTAGGAAATAAATCTTTGGTCCTTGGTGAGATTCAGTCAGCAGACGTGCTAAGGTGCAGGACAAGCTTTGTTCATATCTGTTTACTATAAACAAGAGAACTTTAGACCTCTATAATGATGTTATAGCTAAGATGGAAAAAAGTTAGCCCTCAAGTACTGCTTTTTTAAAAGACAGGCAAGTGTTACTGCTTTATGTGTTATGGCCAGGTTCATAATACAGATGAATCCAGGCATGAGTCCAAACTCTACTGTACTCACCATGCTCGATGGTACACACACACACACACAAAGAGGAAAAAAAAAAAAAAAAAGAAAAAAGGAGATATTTCTGGATATGGATATCGTTTATGTGCATGTCTGTGCACATGCATATACATGCTTTTTACCTGGAAAAATATTGCTTTGCCATCCAGCCTCCAGAAGTTAGTGACCGGATAGCCACTGTGCCCTCGGCAAGGAATGAGCTCAAGGGCTGCATTGCAGTTTGGACAGGCTTTCTCTGCAAAAACAGATCGAGAAACTTTTGAAAAACACTTGTTCAAGGCGAGGGTGCAATCAGAGAGTGAATGGAGCACAAGAGCAATAGGACAAGTCCTTCACTGAAATTCAGATTGAGATATGATATTCCAGTAAATGGGACACAGTCTACCGAGCAGACTATAGCTGCACGGGTGATATAAGCTAACGAATGAAAGGACGGTGGGTCCATTTGCCCGTAGCTATTTCCAAGCAGATGTTGACAGAATTTGGGACTAACTTGCTCACACTGCTTGCAACACCACCTTAGTCTGCATGGCAGAAAACAACCTGGCCTCTGCTTAGAAGTCAGCCAGCCCCAGCTGATGGAAGGGGGGGTCCCCAGGTGCCCTGTCCCACCCCAAGCCTCCTCACTTTGCTGCTTCTGTCGAGCCTTGTCACATATGGCGGGGCGCAGCTGCAGCCTGGCACCGCTGGGCAGGGCACAGCTCCTGGCGCACACCACCACCCCCAGGCAGGACTTCTTGAGGATCTGGCAGTTGTGGTTGTTGGTGTTGCGCATGGCCCAGCCGCTGAGGTGCCTCTGCGCATTCTTCTCCTCACTGGAGTAGATGAGGCGCACGTAGCCATCCGGCCACTCCTGGAAGGCATCGAAGTGCTTGGGCTCCTACAGCAGGGAGAGCATAAGGATGGGGTATCGCAACACAAGGTTGTCATGCCATTGCAAAACGTACAATAGGAGAGGGAGGGCTCCTTCTGTGACCTCTCATGCAGCAAAAGCCAGAAGCAGCAGAAAACGTTTTTGGAAGAACAGCTTATTCAGAAACAGCCTGTGAAAGGAGAAAGGCAACCTGGGCTTCCATGTCACGAAAGAAAATCAGGTCTCCTTCCCCTTTGGGATCACCATTGGTAATGAGAAGGTCTGTTGTCACCAATGCCTCTTTGCTGTAAGGTGGCCCAGCTGTAGGAAATCAGCCTCACTACGAGCACCTATGGGCTGCCCCACCACACTTGTGCCCAGGCAGGACGGGAGCTGCCCTGTTTCTGCTTGCTATTAAGTTCTTCTCACCACAGCGCTATGCACCTGCAGGCTGGAAACTAGAAGTTTTAGCTAAGCAACTGTTGCTTGCAGTGCATCTAACACAAGATGAACAAGGCTCTTCCAAAACAAACAAAAAAAAGAAAACATTGCAAAAACGTGCAACTCTGTACATTGCAGTAGATGCGTGGTGGTCCAGAGAAAGACCATTTCCATTAGGGATGTCACTGGCTTTCCAGCATTCCTTATCAAAATGTGATTAACAGAACAATGAAAGAATGACTGAAATTTTAAGCTCCAATTATTTTACAATGCAAATAGAATTCCCACAATGCCCATTTAACATACACATACACCACATGTGAGCAATCCCAGGGAATTCAGGGATTTACAGAGCATTTGCATCCAGAACTTACAGAGTTAATCATTTCTGTAACTGCATGAGATGTGCAATATATTGTGAGATGAAAATTGCTTGGGTTAAAAATGCATTTGGAGCTCACAAACCGAGAAAAAAAGTGAATGTTCATTGACAAATCTGCTTAATCAAACACATCAGCAGACAAACACAATATTTAAATGATTTAAATTATAATGGAAAAAGGCCAATCCGAGCTTCCTTTAGCATGCAAATGGGGGAACGAGGGAGAAGGAAGCTGGTCTAACAGCAAGGACTGCTTTAAGAGTTTGTACACAGCTGCCCGAGGTTTTGCATTAAATCCCTGCCTTTATTTCCGGCCATCAGCAGAGTCCCTTAAGAACCCCATAACTGCACTGGGAAAGATTTTGCAAGGTAAGAGGTGAGCTTGGTAGGAAGCAATGTTGAGGCTCCTGATGTGGGGGAATTAAAGAGGCTGTAAAGCACAGCTCCTTGGGAGGACAGAGTCATCCCGGAGGGCTTCAGGCCCTGGGGGAAAACCCCAACAGCATTCTGACCCCATCACAGGGAGGTTCCCCAGTTTCCTGCTGATTTCCCGTGCCAGTGCCAACCCCCTCCCCCCGTATCCCCCTCTACCAGGTACCTGCGGCAGTTTGGGGTCGTTGATGTCCCAGGTAAGCTTCATGCTGGAAGAGGGGGCAGCGGCAGGCGGCAGCTCCCGTTTTTATGCCCCCGGGGCGTCCCTGCCTGGCCCCGCTTGAGCGGCAGGGGGCTGGCCCTGGAGGGGACTCCCATAGGGAGGGGGGCTCCCAGCTGCTGCACCAGGTGAGGGCTGCCTGCTCTGCACCCCCCAGTATGCTTAGACCAGTTTAGGGCTGTGCTGCACCTGCTGAAGGTGTTTTTTTTTTTTTGGGGGGGGGGGGGGGGGGGGTAGTAGTTGACGTGCCTTCTGGTTTTGGGGATTTTTCCAAAAAGTTTGTTTTCAGCTCCCAGGAATAGAAAAGAGTTTGTGATGTGATGCTAGAGACTTAGAGTGCTGTGTGTACCTGCAATCCTTTGGCCTCAAGGGTTTTTCTCCTTCCTTTTCATCCCACTGATGCCAGGTAGCCCCTGGGTGGGTAGGTGGGGGGCACCATGGAGCCCCTTGCACCAGGGATGGGGGACACTACTGCTTCGGAAGCATGGGGTGATTGTGAAACTTTGGGAGATGACAGAAGAAAACTTGGGAGAGGGAGGGTAAGTAGAACATCCTCAAATTTTGAGCAGAAAAAGTGATTTTCTTATATTACATTTTCTCTTTCCTTTTAAAGGAAGAAGAAAGCCAAAAATGGAGTAAAGAAATGAATGACAATATGGCAGCTAGAGCAGAAGACTATGTAAATACCTTTTAAATACATCCCTACCTCTGTTTTACAAATTCCTGAGAACATCCAAGTTGGAAGGGACCCAAATATATATACGTATATATATATTTATTTAAAGGTGCATTCTTAAATGCATGTAGCAGGACCTAGGATTTTTAATCGTTTAATGTAACTTTGCAAGTGAAGCCAAGACCACTGCCTTTTTCTTAGCAAACATGTAAAAATTACTGTGGGAGCAGTGGGATGGGATAAGAGCAGCTTACTGCTGCCTGTGCCAAAGGAGTTGCTCGCTCCCTTCCTCGGAATCATTTAAAATAACTCAGTAGCAAAGCTCCTGTGATCCTCTGTCTCTTTTGGAGATTAAGATAAATGTTTCACCTTGAGGTGTAACAGTGAAATGGAAGTAGGGAAACAGTCAAGTAAGTATAGATGAAGCTATTAACCCCCCCAGCTTTTAGAGTAGCATGGTGAGTGTTTTCTTGTAATCAGCACTGTGATGATTCAAATGCCTGCCTATTTTAGCCTCTGTGGTGTTTGCTTCCCCTCCCTCTGCAGCTCGAATCGCTTCTCACTGATGCTTTCAAGGGGAAGGGATTTCAGAAAATAAGTGATCTGCTTCAGGGGAGAGGAATGGAGCCTCTCCAGAAATACAGCGAGTCTCTCTTTTTCCAGCTGGACAAAGCACTGCGAAAGGTGAGTACCCTAACTGATCTTAAATGTCCTGGTGCCTGCCTTTGTCACCCATGGCATCAGGCCAGCCAAGTGTGGCACTGTCTTTCTTCAGGAGCTGGACAAGAACGAATTCCACAATGTTTCCCTGCTGCTGAAGTGTGTGCAGCTCTACTTGAAAAGCGATCTTCAGCAGGGGATGAGTTTGCTCATCGAGCAAGGACTGGTAGACAAGATGAGTATAATGCCTATATAAATTACTAACGTGACTTAGGGTTGCTTGCATTGCGAAAAGACCCTGAAGGAAGCGAATACTAGAGTATGGCTTGTAAAAGTAAATTTTACTCTTTTTAAATAAATATATTTCTTGAGCTGAGCAGGTGTGGGAGGGTGAGTTGTTTTCTTTGCACTGCTTTCAGTGCAGAAGCTAACATTATTGTTGCACCTATGTTTTTAAGCTGTTGAGGGAGGCAGAGGATGAGGAGTTTAGATGAGTGTTTTTTGTCAAACAACATAAATACAGCATAAATTCATTTTAAGTAGCAAAATGTTTGTAGTAGTAGGATTGATGAGCAATTTCAGCTTTTAAAATCATAAAAGCTAACATACACTTTAAGTAGGTCCCCTTTCAGATATAGTGCAACAGGTGCATTTAATCTGCAATTGTATTTTGTCTTCTAATCAGCACAATACTGATTTCAGCTGGCATTAATTGTAGTAATGCACTTGTGTCTAAGCTGAATAATGCCTGCATCTGATGTGGTTTGGAGAGAAGAGTTTGCACTTGCTCTCTTGTGTCCTCACAAGAGTCCTCAGCCCAATGTGCTGTAATGATGCTTTTCAGGGATATGGGTGATCAAAATTCCTTTCTGGAAACATTATTAATGAAGTCTTGCCCATCTAAGCTCTGCACCTCAGGTATAGATCTGTAGGTAGCCATAGGTGTGTGGTGCTGTGTAGTATGTTGAATAGTGTTCATATAATAACACTGAAAAAGTTTGGGAAATGTTTTAAGCATTATTTCACTTTGGAAACTTCAGGAGGAGGTCAGTTCATGGTAGCTACAATGTATCATGACAAGGAGGTCCTGGGCACCAAGAATGGGTGCTTTGAGACCAGAAAGGGGGAAAAAAAATGGGACTGGGGAGGGAAGGGGGGAGGATGAATGCTGCAAGGGCAGCAGCTGGCATGGCCTGCTAGCAAAATTCAAACTCCTTCTTGCCATGTGGCTTTTAACACAGTATGGAGCCTGTGAAGTGCAGAGATTGAAAACATTCCTGTGTGTGTGAGGCTTGCTGCAGATGCATCTTAAGTCTTATTACCTCTTCTTGTGAGATTTTAACTGTTTTTTTTTCCTTTTACGTGGTATCTTGGTTTGAAAGAACGAGAGGGTTTGTGACCATCATTGATCCAAATGAAAATCATTTTTTGATGGCACTTCTTGAAGACTTCTTTGACTCTGCATTGGTATGTACGTGAATGGGGTGGGCGGGGGGTAGATGGACTGCTGTTATATAAGCTAGCCATCATTCACAAATTTTCTATTCAAATAATAATTATATGGGCCTTGCATTCTAGGATTCGGCCAACTGCTTGTTTTTGCAGGAAAAGTGGGAAGAAATTCAGATGCATTTCTCAAAACTTGAATTGAAGCCCTTCTCTGAAAGCATGAGTTACTGGCACTGAGCTGTACCTCAGATGCAAGTGCTCTTACAAGATGGCCCTGGCTATTTGTGCCTGCAGTCTTTGAAATGACTGACTTAATTCTAGAGGCTAATCAGAGCTACTTGCTGTTATCACTTACTATTTATTGTCAATGTTTTTAACTAGAAAGGTATCAGAGGCCTAGGGATGTGAATGCTGTGATTGGAAGAATGCTTTTAGCACCTTTCCACAAGCTGTTCCCCTGTTATTGCTGTCTGTAGTGCTATAAAGTTTTCTGGGGGTGAGTGCAATTATATGTCCAACTGGATGTGTGTGTGTTTACTGGAACTGTGTGTACCTAGAGTGTAAGAATTTGAGTGCTTATGACACATTAACAGTTCATGATTGCAGTCTACTTTTTAGGACACTATAAAAGATTTTGAGCAAGATCAGGTTTTCTTGCTCCTCTAACTGCATTGAAATTATCAAAAAGACTCCATAAATTATTTATTTGTCAGAGTTTGAATCTTTTGTCCTACTAACAACTTCTGTAAACTTTCACTGTGGATGATGAGGTGATTGTTGTATTATTCTCAAGGGACTTCACTGCTCTCCAAATCTCTCCGGCTACAACACTTTTACAGTAGCATGTGAACACAAACTGTTTGCACAGGCCCATGTATGCACCAAAAGCAGCATGCAGGTGCCTGGGTGTGGGCTTTGCAGGAAATCTGAGGGTGCTGCTGAAATACCTAGGGGAAGCAGGTGCCTCTCCTTTGTGCCACCTGTGTAGTGCCAGCATGTATGATGCACGATGACAGTGTGTGACACCTGTCTCGGGTGGTGCTGCTTTTCTGGATGTGGGTGCTGTAATGTTTTTAGGTTATTTTAGCCCCTGAATGCTGTGGCAGTAGGGGCATAAACACCTAAGCACTTTGTTGCTGTTCTTGGGTCGTTGTGTGTTAACAAAGACATCCTTTTTCCATTAGGTGATATGCAAGTGCAGTAATGAAGGTCAGTATTATTATTTTGTTTAGGCCTCCTGAATTTCAGTCTTGGGAGTACACTTCTTAATTCTGCCTGAACTCTAACCCCTCTCTTCTCTCCTCCCTGCAATACTTTCTTTAAAGCCTCCTGATAGATTTCCCCTCCAGTTCATTTTCCTTAACATTTGCATTATGGAACAAAACACCTTACTATTTATCTTTATTTTTTATATGCTTAAAAAAAAAAAAGCTAGCTGTGGTATCTTGTTCAAATATACTTTGTTAGCATCAAGTATTACAATTGGTCAGAATAAGCAGTGCTACTGAAAGGATGTCAGCCTGGTCAAGCAGCTCCTGCATGTCTCCTTGTAGTGCCTTCAGGTGCCATTTCTTTTCTGAAGGTGCCCACCTCCACAGGCCAGCATGGTAGCTGGGCACCCTGAAGTCCACCCAAGAGCAGAGGACTTCAGCCGATTGCTTCCCTAGAGGTGTGCAGCATGGGGTCTGCAGGCATGTGCTGAAGCAAGCTGCTGCTGCCATTGTTCAGGGTGCTGCTGCCTTGTAGCTGAGAAATAGGCTAAGTGCTGCTACAGTTCTGTGTGCTCTTTGCTGCTGAGATGATAGCCCCTTTGTTAGATGGGACACCTCTCCTGCCTTCATTTTGGAGCCAAGATGTTATGGCCACAGCTGCTTTTCCCTTATGCTAAGGGAGCAGCTACTGCCAGAGAGCAAGATCTGTGTGCCCAGGGACCTGGCTTCACAAGTCAGATGAGAATGAAGCTGTGCACTGTGCACCAGGTAGCTTGAGCTTATTCATCCTTGTCCCATGTTTGAGTGGAAGTAGAACGGGCACTGGAGTGTTCTGGCTAACACAGTTGCAGTTTGCACTATTGGCTTCTTTAAAAATCTGAGTATTGCTTGTTTTATTTGTTGTGGCTAGTAAGTAGCTTCTCCCTTCTATGTCTATTTAAATAGCTACCCAGGTCTGCAGTTAAAGTACCTGGAGTTATTTTTGCAGAGAAGTCACCAGGACCCTTCTGTGACTAGGTGATTGCAAGTCTTGTTTACAGCTGAGTGCACAGCTGGGATGTTTTTACTCCTTCAACACCACGAAGTCTAGTTGTTTCACTTATCTTTTATCCAGAGATCAGCTCATTGCTAGTAGTAACCTTGCAAGCTCATTTCATAGGGAAGAAACAACTGGTGAATTTATTTCTGCCTGAGCTAGGACATCTTGTGACAGAAGGAAGCATTTGCTGTGCTCTGCGGCTGGAGGTAAGGCTCATGCTCAGGGAAGAAAATGTAGATGTGCCCACACACAAGGGTGTGTGAGTAAATAAGGTGAAGTATATTAAGTTGGCTTCTTTCTTCCCTGTTCTGCCATCCTCCTTCTCTTGGGGGGAAAGGCTTTGAGGACTCTCAACTCTATACTAGACAGTGTCCCGCGTGAGGAGAGGAAGAAGTTCCCCTTGTCTGAAGAGATTTGCTCCCTTACGTAAGTGTTTTCTCCAGCAATCCCTGTCTCAGGGAAAGAAGTACTAATTTGCTGGGTGCAACTGGCTTCCCAGCTCTGGGGCTGTAGTACTTGCGCAGTTGAGCAGCATTCGCTGTTTGTTTGGGCACAGAGTTACAGGGCTCTCCCTTGTACTTTACATGTGATTGTTGGCATCAGTTGATAGTGTATTAAGAAGTGTTATGTTAGGCTTACACTAGGGTTTTATTTCCACTTTAACGTATTGAATTATGTTGTTTCAGGAATGACCTTGCAAAAACGATACTGGAGGTTGGGGGTAAGAACTACTGAGTGGATATTCTTATGAAGCTAGGGTTTGTTTGGCTTTACTTCATCTGCTTATTTAATACAGATGAATTAATTCAATTTGTTTCCTTATAAGTACTTGATTCTTGGGGGGTGAACAATCGGATGGTACTTTCAGAAAATCTTTATCAAAAGTTGTTCAATGCAATGTGTATTAGATCTTTCTAGTTCGTAATTCTTATTAACTAATAAAAAATCTAAACTTATGTGCCTAAGAAGGTAATTTATGTTTGTATTACAAAGTATGTTTGCATTTAGTCTTAAAATAACACTGAGCTGTAATGTGGACAAACTGCATCTTGCAAGGTTTTACTACATCTTGAGTGTGATCTTCCTAGCCATTCTTAGCCTAGCATGATTTTTTTTTTCCTAGCCATAATGTTTTCTGGGGAGTTAGTGTGGAGCACGCAATGTGACTTAATTGTAGTGCTTTAGTGAGGAGGCTTCCCTCTCATCCCCTCCCTGATGCCCAAGGGCCTCTCCTGACAGGGCTGTGTGCAGTGCCCTGCACACCCTAAGCACAGGCAGCAGGTGATGCCCACAGCTGGCATTTGGCTGCTGTCCTCTGCTGCCTGGGGGTGCTGTTCCCTGGCTCCTTTGGGTTCACCCTGAGGAACAAGGCTGCAAAATATGCTAGTGTTAAGAGCAATGATGCTAACCCTGTTTTGCCAGGGGGGTATTTATCCTGTGCTTATGTTTGCCATGTAGATTATGACCTTCAGGTTGCACTTTCAGAAGCACTTTGTAGGCTAATGACAAAAAAATGGAGAGATGACCTTGTTCACCACTGGTTTGAAGATAACTATCTTGCTGAAGCTTTCAAAGAGATCAAGGATAGAGAATTTGAGACGGTGAGGGTCCTTATTTTGAAAACAACGTGTTTGGCAAGTCTGTACAGGGGCTGGTTTTGTTCTAGTTCATTCAGGATGTCCTTGTAATAAGTTCTTACAGAACTGATTTTTGTAGATACACTAAGTTATTTATTTATTTGTGAATGTGCTTCTTTTTAACCTGGCAGATACAAAATCACCTATCATTAGAAAAGCCCTTATTTCTGAGTTGTTCTTTACAAATATGTTTGCTTGTATGGTTTATGTTTGAAGGCTTGCTGGTTATAAGTTGAGTTCAACCATTTGTAGCAACTTGTGTGTTTATTCTTGGCCTTTGGTGTCTCACTGAGTTTTAAAAAAGAAAACAACAAAAAACAAACTAAAATTTGTAACTGGAGTAAAGGTTATACATCTCCAATAATGTAATGCTTTGTAAAGAAGACATAGCAGGATTATTTTTTTAATAAGATATTATTTGTCTTGAAGGACTGCAGGAAATTTCTTAACCAGCTAAATGAAAGACTTGGGGATGACAGAAGGTAATCTGTGAACTGAGAAACTAAACTGATGTTCCTTCAATTCATTTAAAATAGGGGGGGGGGGGGGGGGAAGTAGGATTGTACACTAACTTGTGTTCTGTAAAAAAAAAAAAAATACATCACATCCATGGTTAATGAAGTTACTAAGAAAAAGATTTTATTCTAATAGTGGTCCTTTTGAAAGTTAAAACTACTAAAGACAATGTGTTTTTTCTAACTTCTTGGAAGTTAGTCATTTTGAACAATGAGCCGTGAAGATTGGCAGCCAATCTTTAGCTTTCAGAAAGTCAGATTCTGATTGATGTTCATATGAAGTCTGCTTTTCTTCCAGAGTCTATTCGTTTCCTTGCATATCTGCTTTTGCTGACATGAACCAGGTAAAAGATCTTAATACTGGATCACATTATCTACAGTGCTGCCACAGTTAAAATAGGTACTTGGTGCAGTATATGTTGTCTTTCCACCCCCCTCCTGTTTTTCATTAAATAACTTAATTTTCCAGAACTTAGAGTGTAACTTTCCATTCTAGTTCAAATGTTTGCTTGTTTGTCACCCAGCTCCTAATTTACTGCTGCTGACTCTGCTTGTGTGTCAGCCAAATGGCAGAGGCAGCACTTCTCTTCATGGTGATGACTGAAGAGAGACCTTCTGAAAAGAAGCAGGAGAACAGGAGGACTCTGATTCCTCTGGCAGAGCTGCTCCTAGACTGCCAGAAAACAAGATCAGAATGATGCCCATGTATAGAAGAGGTCATAGTCATGGTTATAAATTGTGCAGATTGCTTTCCAGGTCTTTAAGTAAATGTTCCTGACATTTGTTCAAGTGTTGACAAGTGTTCTTGACAGTTGTACCAAATCAAAACCAAGTCAATGAAGAGGTTTGTTTGAAGCTGGTCCCACTGCGTCAGCTTATCTCAAGTGCTCAGATACATAGAAAGCTTCAATGTTCCCTGGTGCAAACATGCAGGCATTTGCCTGAGGTATTTCCTTTCATTTAGCTGATGTACATCCTCATTTTGACTTGGTGGGCATGGCTGAGTTAACTAGCTATTGTGAACTGGCCAGCACCTTACATGTTGATCACAACTTTAATTTCTGCAAGGTGTGTATATGTGGAGCAACTTTCTCCAGTTTCATTGCAGTAAAGAAAACTGAGAATAATGTATTAGAAGAAACAGCAACACAGCTCTCATGCTTTCCCAGGTGAAAAAGCCATCAGATGAGAAGCTGGAGGAGTTCTGGATTGACTTCAACACTGGCAGCCAGAGCGTGACTTTTTACATAGACAGTAGTGAGGTAATAGTAAAGCCCAGGTGGCCTTGGGTTAGCCTAATATACCAGGTGGATGCTCCTCCAGCCTTGCTGATGTGGTGGTTTTGGTTTTAAAGGGTGCTCTCTGGGACTCTGTGAGGCTGTTGAAAGATGCTGTCAGCAGTTACAGTCTGAAGGGTAAGATTTTTGCAACCGGCATTACCCCTTGCTTGGCTGTGGGCTCACAAGACATAGGGAGCCAATGTAAAATCTCAGCATCACCAAAGAGTTCCCATGCCTTCCCTTCTCCATGCCATGTGCTCTGTCACCTTGCACCAGCTCTGCTTGTTGGACCATCTGTGAGCCCATTAACCTGTGAGCACAATAACCTGACCTTGCCTGCCCCCTCTAGCCCACCCCAAAAAAGAGTTGGAGCATCTCAGTCAGGTCTGGCAGCAACTACAGTGGAAGAGGAAGGCAGGAGAGGGACTTATGCCCCTGGGAGCAGAGGAGGGAAGTGGAAGGAGAAGGGGAGGAGGGAAGAGCCCCTTGGCTAGGCTGGCTCAGCCTGTGAGATTAGTGTAAGGGAAGATCTATGCTAGCTGCTTCAGGCCCTACAGAAGCTTATTTTCTGGATGGTGCCTGGGAAATGGCTACGCTGCCATTAAGAGGAGGACTGAAACAGTGATTGAATGTACCCAGGGCAGGGGAAACCATAAGAGCTACTCAAAGTGTCACCAGGATGCTGTGCACGTAAATGACTCTTCATTGTGTGTCCTGTAATGGCAGTAGGTAAAAACGTGAAGAGGAAAGGTATTTATGCCTTGTGGAAAGGACAAAGGATCTGCTTGGCACAGACAGCAGCAAAGCTGTACTGGTGGCTCTGTAACCTGCCGAGGTGGCGGGGTAGGAGGTTGCAGTCCGAAGGCCTCTTCTCCCAGTCAGACATGTCAGGGGGCGGGGGGTTGGTGGTGCTTGTAGAGATATGAGGGTACTGGATGCATAATCATCTAGATCCAATGAGAAAGAAATGTGTCAATGGTGTAACTGGAAATGCATGGGGAAGGTGTGAAAGAAACTGCCTTAAAACTGAAGAACAAAAACACTTATTCAAATGTTTTTGGAGTAACAGAGTGAATGCATTGCTCTAAAACAGATGTAGCTGTTCTCTCCTTTTTTTTTTTTTTTTTTTTACACAGAGGGTGGTGGAGAAAAGATTGTTAAAATTTACATGAAGATTCCTGCTACTCTTAACAAGACAGAAGCAACAAAAATCAAAATATGTTTCAGTGCTGAGTATGAAATTTTAAATATACTTAAAAAAGTCCTTGGAGAAGAAAAAATGATGGTAAGCTCTTAGTATGGTTTGCCTTTTTTCTTCCCTAAATTTTTTTTATTGATATACACTTGGCAAAAACATTGTGCTTCTGTTTTTCCCCTGTCTGTTCATTATATATTCTTCTTCCCCTTGAGGGTTTGTGACCCTCCATGTGGACACTTATTGTTGGCCTGAAAGAGGTGTACTGGGTCTGGCTGGGATGTTAACTTTCCCTTCAGCAGCCCATACAGTGCTGTGCTCTGCACTTGTAGCTAGAACAGCAGTGGTATCACACCAGCGTTGCTGCTGAGCAGTGCTGGCACAGCATCAGGACTCTCTCTAACCCTCCTAGGGGGTGGACAAAAAAGTGAGAAAAGTAACATCACCAGGGCAGTTGACCTAAACCAACCAAAGGGATATTCCATACCATATGGTGTCACACTCAGCAATAAAAAGGTGGAAAAATGAAGAAGAGGGGAGGGGTGGGCTCTCGCTGTGAAAACATTGGTCCTCCTCCTGAACACTGGCTACGTGCGTTGAGGCCCTGCTTCAAGGATGTGGTCAAGCATTGCTCATTTGTGGGAAGTAGAGAGTAATTTCTTTCCTCTGCCTCTTTCTACATAGCCTTTATTTGTTTTGTTTTGATTTTTTTTCCCTCCCACCCTCCCCTTTTTCCCATTTAGTTAAATTGTTTAGTTAATAATAATCTTTCCTTAATAATAACTTTTTAAATTATCCTTATCTCAACCTGTGAGTTGTTCTTTACTTCTTCTCCCCCTCATCTAAGGAGGGGGAGTGAGAGAGCGGTTGTGGTGTTTAGCTGCCTAGCATGGTAAAACCCCCACAAGAGGTGTTAGACACTTCAGGGGGGGAAAAAGGTTTCAAAGGACTCATTTGTGGTTTAGAAGCTGGAAGTGTTAAACTGTCTTGTTAATTAATTCAGTCAATGTGATGTGATGACTTTTTGTGGAATTCTTGAAGTATAGAATAAAGCTTATTGTATTTAATTGCCTAGCTTGAAATGTAAACGCTTTCTTGCATTAACTCAAACTATTACATTGCACAGGTTAAGTTAATTGTGGTATTAGAACCTGGAGAAAAGAAAAGGAGTACTACAAGAGAAGTCTTAAACTGTCTGTGTACATACTACTTCTTAGAGTAAAAGCAGAGTACTTCCAAAAAGCAAGAGTCCTCAAGTTTTTTGTAATGGGAGAACATGGGAGTGATTTTTCTTGTTAATTTAAATATACATATATGCAATAAGTATTTTTAATCCTTGTGATTCAGCCACAGACCACAAAATTAGCAGGAAAAAAGCTACATGAGAGTAAATAGTCATATAGTGGCTGTCATTCCTCCTTGTAGGAGAGAAGCTTCTAAATGGTTAATTCAGCTAGCATCCAATGACTTCTTGGTGGTTATTGTCTTATTACGTAGCTAGCTTCCTTAGATAAAGGAGTCTGCTTCTTTAAGGTCACTTGACAAAAAATTCATTCACCCTAACAGACAAATGTGGCTGAAGAGGACACTATCCATAGTGGGAATAAAGCTGGTCAGACTGAAGCAGGTGACTTTTTTTTCATTTTTAGTTTACGGGATTTAAGTTGCTCAATTTTAAAACGAGTACCTTCTCTGACAGTCCATAGCTTCCAATTAGGCACATTGGAGGGGAAAAAAAAAACAACAGCCTTCACAGTAACTTCTTTAGTCCTTCCTCTCTGGTTACAACCCAAAATGAACTCTAATGGAAGTCCTCCAGATTTGGGAGGCATATCAGAGGGGTGAAGGTCTTTGATCAATGTACATTGTGAGGACACAGAGGTGTATGGTGGGCAGTGCTACTTGGAGCAATCTAGGAATGCAACGGGTAGCACATGGTTTATCTGCAGTCAAGTTTGCAGCACTTGGTGGAGGTTCAGCACAGGGAAATGGATGGTGGGAGATTTGGTCTGGTGCTTCGGTCAGACAAAAAGTGTTGTGCCATGTCTTGCAGAGCTAAGAGTCGAGGTAGCAATAGGATGATAAACTTATTTATCTTCATGTGCTCTGTGGGGTAGGCTCGAGAGGATCTTTAGCATTTTGGTTCCACAGGGGGTGATTTGGAGGTGTTTGGTTTTGTTTTAGTAAACATGATCTTGAGAGGTTTGTGCCTAATAATTTGGTACTGTTATGCCTTTTTGCATGTGTGTAAAAGTGAGAGGGGTGTATGTATGCACATACATCTGTGTTTAAAGTACTAGGAAGATAATCTCATCCTGATTGTTGTTCTGCAGTGACACCTCAATCTAGTGATCCACAGAAGAAGGAAGATGTTTCAGTCTCTGAAAATGTGGGCTCCCTGTCAGAAGACTTATTTTCTCAACACAACCAGCCGTTAGCAGGCAGTGTAGCAGTAAGTGTTTGGTGTATGATAAAACAGTCCTTGTGCCCCCTTTATCATCTCTTCAATTCTGCTTTTTCATAGGTGTGGTTAAAATGTTCTTTCAAAGAAAACCTGCTGGTACCTGATGTGTTTTCAAACTTCCTCTTTTTCATATCAGTGGGAAGTCAGCCTAAACACTTACCTGCAGAGCTGCAGTGTTGGTAAAAACTGTTTTAAAAGGGGGAAAAAAAGTTTTTCTGCCTTGTAAGGAGATGGATGCTCTTAGTGAGTTGCTCATAGTATTACTGAACTATAACCAAAAATATTTTTGTGGTTAACAAGGATCATGTCACCCAGCTGCTGCCACAGGCTAGCACTGAAAATCTTTTCCTAAAAAAAAGTTGCCAACCACCAAGCCACACACATGAACAAACAAGGGACCACCTGTTTTTCTTATTCTGTGATTGCTCTTTTCATGGTTTCAGGTCTCTAAACAGAAAATAGTTAACTCTGGTATCACCATGGTTTCAGTAGGCCAGCAGACTGACATGGACAATGCTCACCAAGGCTCAGGTCAGGCATGGCTCCCTTCAGTTCCTTAAGTCTGACCCAGTGAAATATCACCCGGGTGACCTGGTAAGACTCTGCTTTTGTGGGCCTCCCAGCAAAAGCAGGTAAATTGTTTACTTTTAGCTCCTGAGGGTGAAGCTGTAGTTTCCTTGCCTCCTTCAGCAAAAAAATCCAAAACTCTATCTCCAAGGACAAAAGCTAAGACTAGGTAAGCTCCTTGCAGACCAGAAATTGCAAGGTGTTTATTTTTTCTTTCATATCTTTCTAGGACTCTTCTTTGGTGTGTTTTCCTTCCTCTGGGGCTTTAATGCATGAGATTTTTGAGATCTATGTCAGTTACTAAATGGAAAAAAATCAAATCTTAGCCACCTTGGCTATCAAGGTGGCTAGCCAATAGTTACAACACTTCAGAATAGTTACTGGTTAAAGGGTAGCATTTAGGTCCTGGCTTGGATACATCTTAGTTTCATCATTAATCTAATCTAAATGCAGTACGCATACATCTGTATTACAAACAGTTCTTCTGCTGTATATTCAGCTCATCAAATACATGGCAATTCATAATAAAGACCATGATCTTTGTGAAAGATCATGTGAATTTGAGGCCACCTTGGCATGAGTGATACACTTTTTCAGAGCCATGAAGGACAGCATTTCTTACAGTTAAGTAGGCAGACTCTGTAGAGCTACTGGTTAGCTTTCTTTGCTTTTAAAGCACTGCTTTGAGGCTGGTAGACTTACCGATGCCAGTTCTTTTTCTTGGTACTTCATAAACTGATGATCTGGGCTCTAAATGGGTGGTCCCCCAGCACCATGTTTCCTCACATGTCCTTTTCTCCCCAGTGAGAAGGCCCTAGAAGAACCACCCATGGAGGAGTCAACGCCAAAGGTACGTTTGCCTTGGGAACACCTCAGTGAAGATGTGGGGTAAGGGAGGAAATGCTCTAGTGGCACAGCTAAAGCCACCTAGGGTTGGCTGAGCCAGTCCTGAGCCCATGCAATGTCACTAGATGTAATGTGCCTTTTGGCACCAGGAGTGAGCTGAGAAGGCAATGCCTGTCAACCTTACTATAGTGTGGTCCAAGCAAGCAATTTGGGCTCAGCTGAGCTTACCTAGTATATACTCCATGGCAGTGGTATGCTGTGTGCAGGCCCGGGAGCAGGGTGTATAGGCAGCTAGCCTGGTCCTCCATGGGAGAAATTCATGTGTTGCAAGCCTTACACATGGTCTACAAGAGCAAAGATTTGCTTCTTGAAGGGAAGATGTGTCTGGAAGTTTACAAAGATGCTTTGTATGTGAGCTCTAATGATGATCCCAGGACAGATCTGTCTCCATATTCTTGGCATGGGAGCTTGCAAGCTAGAGAAAAACAGGTAAATAAGAGCTATCTGTGGCTGCATGTCTTTAGGCAACTTGAGCACTTGAGAACTTCTGTTAAGGTATTAAATAATAATAAAACAAATCCGTGCCATACAGGAAAGAAATGAAATTCCCAAAAGACTAATTTTGCTTTGAAGTTGGTACTGAGCTTATGTGAGAAATCAGATTTTAGATTTGTCCTGGGGTTTATGTTTCTATAAAATATACACATTTGTACTTCACTACTCAAAGGTTTTTGTAATGCTTACCCTCTGCATAAGAATTCAGAGCTTTTAAACTATTTCTTTATCCTCAACTCACTGTCTCCCTGGCCTCAGCTCCAGGACTCCCACACTTTCTCGTGTGAACTAACTACAGGAAATGGCTTATAACTGGACTGTTACGATAGGCTTGCAGTGGTGCAAATGTTGATGTTTCCTGACATTCCTTATCCCTGCTTCTAGCAGGCTGTAGGATTAGTAGGTGGCTGCATATTGTGGTTTGAGATTCTGCAACTTTTTTCCTTTTTAGAAGGACAATACCAGGGAAAGGAGAAATGGAAAAAAAGGCTTGGCCAAACAGATGATTGAAGACAGGTATGGCACACAAGTGCATGTGGGGTTTGGTGTCCCAGGTGATTTTAGACCCCTTCTAGCAGTAATGGGGTGGGGCAGAGGGCGCACTGATAGGGTGGGCTTTCTGAACAGAGGAGGCACCAAAACAAGCAGGAGATGACAAAAGGACCTTACTTGTTCCACTGGAAACCTGTGTGTTCCTGAAGTGAACACAGTTCCTGAAGCTAACTCCAGTCTGCCAAAAGTGCCCTTCCCTCTGTGACACGATGCCAAATTGGCGTTTCCATTTTTCTTTACCTAGCCATAATCCTCTTACCCTCTGGTTGGTTGTGTTATGAGTGACAACCTTGTTCACAAGTACCCAAACCTTCCTGATATTGCCCTAGGTCTTTGGTATCACGTGCTCTGGAGTTTTAGGATGGGCTTTTTTTTTTAGGTGGGTTTGGATGCCCAAGTGTTTCGCTCCAGTGTTTTCTTGTATCCTTGTTTAGCCTAGGGATTCTTAGCCTGAAGACATGCGTAAATGAATTTTTTGATTGATTGTAGGTAAGAATGAAAAATCTGATGCAGTAGTAACATAATAGAAGGTAGGGATAGAGAAGTCTTGATTTGGTCATTCTGCTCCCTGTAGTGCCTCATCTGGAAATGAGCATTGCTTTCTGCTAGAAAGCTTTACCAAGAAGGGCGCAGTTCCCTATTCTTACGCTCATGAGAAAAGAAAGGCGTACTGTATGTTGAGAACTAATTGTAGGATTTCTTAAATAGCTGCCATTTAGAGAAAGAAAAATGCACTTCAGATAATTAAGGGTATGAGAACAAAATTTAGATGCATGCAGAGAAGTGATTAGGAAACAAATGTTAAGTTAGAACTTTCAAAAGAGAATTACGCTTTTTTCCTCTTAAATATTTCTGAAATTCTTTCATGTCATTCATGACTGTCCTACTATGTGCTAGTATTGGTGACTTCTGGGAACAAGATATTGATTACATAAACATGTACAGACTTATTTTTATAAATGTTTCTTTTAAAATTAAAAACTTATAATAGAAAGAAATAGTGTGAGAATTAATTAAAACAATAATAGAGACTAGGTAGGAAAGGAACAAGCTACTTTTAAAAGCTGAGGAAATAGTATTTTTAGGCATATGAACTACTTAATTGTTTGCCATTAATTGAGCCCAAAATTAAATGTTATTTCCCCCTCCCTCAGTGCAGTTGGGTGACTGTTGATGGTTGTGTATCGCTGCCATGCATATGTTGCTTTGTCTTCCAGGAAGGACTCCTATGGCTTTGAAAGCTCAGACTCTGCAAGCCATGAAAAGGTAATGCTATAGGGAAGAAGTTGTTAGGGGCTGAGCTTTGCTCAGCAGCTACCAGGGAGCAGTGACTTTGGGTTCAGGCATGCAGCAAGGGTGGACATGCTGTTAGAGGCAACTGGGAATCTGAGGTTCTTGCACTTCTTTGTGGTGTCATACATAATATATGTATTTAGGTGGGGAGAATGCTTCAGTACCTTCATGAGTTCTGGGGTGGAAACTGTGATGTTACAACTGTTTGTGATAGGAATTTGAGCTGGTGCTTGAATGAGGCTGGGGGATATTTTTGCGATCGAAGGCTGGCCTCTGTTCTTGTTTTATTGAGCCATGCTTTGCACATTGGGAATCCCAGCTTAAACTCAGTCCTTGTGAAGCTTTGGTTGGACATTCTGCTTGGTTTACATCTGCAGGCTGTTAGAAAATCCAGCAAAAATGAGTCACTCTGCCTGCTTTGCATCTGACCAGAGCAGGTCTTCCCAGGAAGCCAAAAAAAACTTGCTCCTAATAGTTTCCATCGAGGTGGCTCTCCTGTACACAAGCCCTTTGGCTCTCAGCCTCTTCACATGTGCTGTCGCAGCTTGCTGTTAATTCAGGGGTGCTGAACGAGACACCCCAAATGTCTGATAAAACTGGACACCGTCTGCTTCTCACTACTGCCACTGGGTGTCAGCATGAAACACTGCTTTGTGGTATGCTGCCCAGTGTCCCAACAACACCATCCGAAATCTTCCTGGGTAGATACAGTTTTATTTCAGATTATTTCACATGGTAACTGAACTTCAAGACATGTGACTTTTACTTTGTATCCCCCCCCCTCTTTCTAGGTTGCTGAAGCCAAAGGAAAACTTCTTGGCCAGAAAACTTCTTCACGGAATTTGAGGTACAGGATCATACATGCACAATCCATACATTTCTTGCTCAGTGGAAAAGTTTGCTACCTCAGTTAAAGCAGTTTAAGTTAGGATCAGGAAGGCTGTGTGATGGTCCCAATGAAATAGTTCCTTGCCTGGCTGTCACAGCTTCTATGGATGTCACTGGTACTAACATTTAAACAGGATCTGAGAATATCAGAGTTACTAGAGAGAAGAATGACTTCTGCCTAATTTAACAATATTATGAATTGAGCTCTTAAGCAGTCCCCTTCCCTAGTCATGCACCTAAACAACTGGTTTACCTCCTGAAAAACATTTAAATACTCTGCTTTTTATTGGCCAATTCTAGTTACAGTAAGCAGCCAGGGGTTAGATGCCTTGAAGCACATAGCCTAATTTTGTTGAGAGGTGCTAAAGTTCTGGTATTCCAAAATTGTTAGCTTCAGAAGCCAGCCAAAGAAGGGAAACTTCTTTGTCAATAATAATGCCAAAGTCTAAATATATTTAACTTATGATTGTTGTAATTTAATTTGATTAACTAATAGTGCTGAGCATGAATAATCTGGCCATCCTGCTGGCCTGTTCGGTAGCACTGTTTGGTTGTGCCCTTCTGCACTCCTGTGTTACACTGTCACAGCACCTAATTGTCTGACTTGTGTCTGTGTGGGTTACTTGGCAGGATGATGAAATGGGGATGTGAGCAAGCTTGAGAGAAGGCCAGTTGGTCATCCATGCTTTCTAATTTGGGGGTTTTCCTCTGCCAAGAGCTGTGCTCTTCTCTAGACATAGGAGGGGAAGGGGTGATGAAGCATGACAATGCTCTAAACATGGTACTGGAAAAGGGCAAGTGTTTGCTTCTCAGTGTTTTTATGCAGCTTAAAATGCATTGGGTATTGTACTGTGGGGAGCAATAAATGGAACAATTTGCTGGTGGAGAGGAAGGGGAATGGCTATGGAGCTTCCTGGGTGGGCAGAGGGAGCTGGCTGAGCAGGACTGACTCCTGGTAGTGTCTTTAGTTACAGGAAGCATCTTTTTTCTGGAAGCAACCATGAAAAAACAAGTAACAGCCAGAGTGAGAAGAGCTGGATCCTTGACTCTCAGAAACAGCCATTGCCAAAATCTCTTGACTATACCCGAAAAAGGCGTAGGGTGAGGAGAAAAGTAAAAGGTAAGCTTAGTCTGTGTCATGCACAGTGAATGCATAAAACTGCAGGTGAGGAAGGGGCTAGCGATGGCTTGTGAAGGAGGAATCCTCTCCCTTTGGGTGCCCTTCTGGGAACAAGTTCTGGCTCCCTGTTATGTTGTTGGTACCCAGGTAAACCTTTCTCCTTGCAGTGCTTCCAGTGTCTTCCCCAAGTAGTGGCAGTGACTACCGGACACAGGAGGTGAGAAGCTGCCATGCTCACGTGTCTCATAGTTAAAAACAGTATGTATGCAAAACACACAAACACTGGGAATCAAATAAGCTGGTGCCATCTTCTCAAGTGTTCTAATGGACCAATTTGCTGCCTAAATGTTGCTGGTATTGTGTTGGTCACCAGAGACTGGGGAAACAAGGAGGTTGTAGGAAAACATGGGAAACTTCATAAAAACAGCTGTGCATGATCCCTAAGCAAATTAGGCTCTACTGGCTAAATGCAAAACTTCGGCATGCAGCTGACTTCAAGATACAGATCTCCTTCAGAGTTGGAGAGAAGTGTCATTATGTGTTATATCTAACTTAAAAGTTTCCACTCCTAGTGTAGAAACAAACAAAACTCCATGACAAAAAAAATCAAACCACACCAAAATAAATTTAAATTACTTGTATTGTTTAAAGGAAATATATGTTAAGACTTGTCTTTCTGCTCCCAGCTAAAAGAAAGCCGAAGAGATCAAAAGGAAATGCCAAAGAAAACAAGCATGTCCACCTCCAAAGGAGATGACTTACCTACAGTGGATCTTGCTGGTATTTCTTTTTCTAATGTTGTTCAACGTACTATGAAAGTAGGGCACAAGGGCTGTGTTATCTGGCACCTAAATTGTGGGGTTTCTGGAGGAAGAATGCACTGCATTTGTGCTACTTTACCCTGTCCAGGCTAATCTGTTACCTCTACTTAAATATCCAGGTTTTGTTTCCCAGAAGCAAACAAAAAATGTTCTGCTCAAGCATTATTTTCTAAGGTCTGAAATAATCTGTAGATACTAATATATAGTGTGCCTATGAACTGGTATTTTCTTCATTTATGTCGTAAAGCAACTACTGAGTGCAGATACAGACCATGGCTTATATGTCAGCTCTGCATGAACTTGGTTGGAAGATCTCTCCACTCTGTTCTGCAGTGCTGATGGTCACTTCTTCTATGGTAGGTCTGAGGCTTCATTGGGAGTAAAGACATGTACAGTGTTTACACTAATATTCATTTCTGTGGACAGTCTGGAGCCACAAAAACCCTTTAGGTGGTGTTACCCAGTGCAGTGTGTCTCTGCACCTGATGGTACATCAGCCACTGGGTTGAATTCAGACTGCTCCATAAAGTGGTTATGGAAAACTAGTGATGCCCGAAACTTTTTCTACTGAAAAGTTAAGCAGCCTATCTTCGTGCTGCAATGTGCGGGTTTTGATTCTGTGGGGTTTTGTCTTGTTTTTTTTTTTTTTTTAAATTTGTTTTAATTTTTGCTTTGGACTTCCTGGATATCATACTACAGACATTACACTAGTCCACTTTCCCTGCCTCAGTTTCTTCCTCCTGCCAACTGTCCTGGTTTTGGCTAGGATAGAGTTAATTTTTCCACTAGTAGCTGGTATGGTGCTGTGTTTAGGATTTATGATGAGAGTAACATCGGTAACAGTTTTAGTTGCTGCAGAGTAGTGCTTACATGAAGCCAAGGACTTTTCAGCTTCTTGCCCTATCCTGCCAGTGGGCATGCTGGGGGTGCAGAGGGAGCTGGGAGGGGACAGAGCCAGGACAGCTGACCCAAACTGGCCAAAGGGGTGTTCCATACCCTATGGTGTTATGCTGAACAATATATAGGGGTGGCTAGCCAGGGTTGGTGGACTATCAGGTCCTGCTCAGGGACAGAGGGGATAATGGGGCAGGTGGTGAGCAATTGCATTGTGCATCACTTGTTTGGGCACAGTAGTAGTAGTTACTTTACCATTATTATTTTCATTTTTTTCCTGTCCTATTAAGCTGTCTTTATCTCAACCCACAGGCTTTCATTTTTTTAATTCTCTTCCCCCACCCTAGAGGGGGAAGGGTAAGCGAACTGCCATGTGGTGCTGAGCTGCCAGCCTGGTTAAACCATAACACCAATGCTCTTGCTGGACTGGGCAACAGCATTAGGTGTTGCTCTGTAAACCTGAACAATCCAGCAGCAACACTGAGGCGAAGGAAGGGAATGTGATGGCAGCCAGAAACAAGGCGAACTTTGGACCAAGTTTGAGATGTTGCTCCCTGTTCATGTGTGGATAGGCAGAGGAGAAGGGTGGCTGTATTTTTTTTCTATATTTGTTGTTAAATTCAGGTGTCTAGACAACACAGGGCTCAACCTCTCCTGCCTCTGTTGCTTGGCTGCACTCTTTCATAGGTCACGTGCTCTCAGAGGAGCTTGAAGTGGCACCACTGTCCCTGGATACATCTGCTGAGGGCCTCTCTGATGTGGAGGAGAAGGCAACACAGGTGCTGTATGCAGTGCTTGAGCTCTTCCTGATCTGCTCTTGGCCTACTTCTGGCCTGTGGGCGGTGTATCGGTTCATTTTGCTTCTTTGCTTTGCAAGCCCGACTGCTTGCCTGCAGCACTGGGCACCTTCTGATTATCTTCTTCTTCTTAGAAGTTTCAAAATGCATCTGACAATAATACAAAAGAAGAAGAAAACTTTAAGCGGAAGGACTCAGGTACGTTAGTCTCAGTAACATAGAAGAACTGGTTAAAAAGTAGAAGGGGTGCTGACAGTTCTTTTCTTTCAAAGATGTGAAGGCACTGAGGTTTTATGTATCTGAGGGATACTTTGTGCATAAGAAACACCTTCCATTTCTGTTGTTCATATTGTGATATGGACTATGGTGGGATGTTTTGTGTAAATTCCTGAACTGATTGCTAACTCTTAAATCCTGCCTTTGCTCACAGGAGACCCTACTAACACTGCTGGTAAGAGCATGGGGATTTACAAACTAGTTGCCTGAGAGTAACTATGTGAAATAAGTGGAAGAATAAATCCCAAATTTATTTTTAATGACTTGGAGATGCAGTGCAACCTCAATTTGAAGAATAATGATTAAAAAAAAATATCCCAGGAGGTTATAGACTTCTTGACAATAGTGGTCTATGTCTGTATTCTTAGGTATGAAGCTCTTGGTAAATGGTGATTTGTACTGATGCTTATGACAGCTGTAAGGGTTTTAGGTAATGTTGGTATTTACAAATTCTTTTATTGAGACTGAACTTGCACAGCCTCGCTCAAAACTGCAGCAGAGTGTCTTTGTGTTTGGAACTACTGAACTTCATGAAAGCAAAAAACAGATTTGTCATCCTATTTCTTATGAGGCTGATGTAGCTCTGAGAGGCTGTAGACTTCACAGTCAACATTGGGACAACAAACTGAGTCACTGAAACCTCCATTTTGGAAAAAGGCATTCTTTCTCATAGGCTGACTTCCCCAATATGTGCACAACTTGTCCAGCACTTGCAGAATATACCCTCACCCCATCAATACCTCTGCTTAATTTGGGGGAAAATAAGTGCTGATGATTTTTTAACCACCATTTACTGCAGTCTTATAGTTGGAGAAAAGTGGATGCTATGCAAAGGCAAGAAGTAGGGATATGTTCAGAAATGTCAGGTGTGATCTGTGATTGCACATGAACACTTACTCCATGTACTAACTTTAACTGCTGCTGCAGCAGCATGCTCCTCATGGCCTCAATGACCCCTTGTCCTGGGCTCTACCACATTCCTAGTTTTCTGCCCAGTGGAGAATCCAGAGAGGTGATCGTTTAACCATGGACATCTAATTGAGCTCAGAGAAATGGACAGTCAGACTAAGGAGGGATATTCTGTTGTATGTTTTACTTAAAATACATGCTGCCACATCCAGCTCTGTGTTAACAAGGTTGTTCCTGGGCTACAAGCAATCATGTGGTAAGGCTTTGAAGATCTGGAATTCAGTTATAATGGGTGTGATTAGTTTATCTCCCTCCATACTAATGTTTTTTTTTTTTAAAGCAACAGCTAAAACTAGGTTAAGAACAAATGAGTATAAACAGATTGTGGGCTTGGGCTGGAAGAGAGAAGGGGTAGAAGATGGATAAGTTTTTTTTTTTTGTTGTTTTTTTTCTGGCTAGAGTAGTGGGACAAGTGGGAAATTAAATCATCTTTGAGATGGACATGTGTTAGTTTTCCAGTTGCCTGCATGGCACTAGATGGTCTGGCTGACTGCTTTTGCAAGGGGAAAAGACTTGCTGGTGAAGTCTTGTGTTCTGTCATGTGTAAGTCTGATGCCAGACCCTAAAACAAAATTGCTTGTTCAGCATTGGTAATTCTAGTGGTGGTTTTTGCTTATGTACCTGGTAGATACTGCTACATGTCTTCTGCAAAAGAACAGGTCTGTACTGAAACCTCTTCTCTCTTTAGATGTATTAAGTGGCACTGTTGGAAAGAAGCCCAAGCTTTACAGTCAGGAAACAAAACACTTGTTCTCTGATGCTCCTAGTACACCGAAGAAACTTTTTGATTCAGATGAGAAGAAAGAAGAGATCCAAATAGGTAAAGCAAGTTTGTTTTCTAAGGTGAAGTGTTTAAGTGTTTCCAGCTGTTCTTTTTTGGTGGTAGAAATCAGTCATGTGGAAGCTTGCAGAGAGGTATATGGAGGGAGAGTATCCTCTCCAAAAGGCAAAATGTAGCAGAAGGCACATCTTGTGATGCACTCATTGGATGCCACACATTTAGAGTGAATACTGAAACTTGGTGTTTCTAACCACCATGCACTCATGAAGCTGCCTGGTAGTGGTAGTGCTTTCTAGTATTTTAGACTATTGTTTGACCAGAGCTACTTAAAAGCATAGAAAGCACAGAGATAATGGACAAACTAACTTCAATTATTGGATAACTGACCTCTATTGGCATCATCATCTTGCATAGTTATTTGTAAATGTGCTGCTCTCTGCAGTAGGTTAGTATCACACCTCTTATTCAACACTGCTTGCTAACAAGTCTTTCCCACTTTCCGACTGTGTTTTAAGCTGTTTTCCTTCCTGTTTGTGTGCTCCAGAGGAGCAATCCTCAAGTCTCCGCTCTAATGAATATTAATTTTTATATCTCCCTGTGGTAGCGTGTGTGTGTGTTTTCCACTAAGACCCCCAGCAAAGTACTTACCAAGCATACACTTTCTTGTAGGTCAGGAAATGGAAGATGAGGATGATGTATTTTATTCTGAGATAAATCATGAAGATTCTGTTGCCTCAGGGATGATTACTGCATTTGAAAGCTTCATCAGCCAACGAAAGAAACTGTTCTGGGTAATGTGTGCTCTCTTAACATGTACACCATGGGTGAAATTTTCTCATAGTAAACACAACTGCCTTTCAACAGTTGGTGCAAATATTCAATCTATATTTCATGCCCAAGAGTTTTGGCTGCAGTGGCTGTTAGCCTGGAGCTATTCTAAGTGTTTTGCACAGCCCCTGTGCTCTCAGAAGCCCTAGAGGAAGGGCAAGAAGTGACTCGTAAGGGAGGTTTTAATTAGGTTCTTCCTTTTTTCTAATTTTTGTGTTGGAATGTAAGACTTGTTTAGGTGTTTAAAATTTCATCAGAAAGAATGGATTTTTTTGAAGACCAACCCAGCAGAGTGGCAGCACACCTAAATTGTAGCCATTGGTATTTGTTCTCATGGGGCAAATATCAGGCATAGGGAAACTTAATTTTGGATCACAGAGTTCATTAGCTCAGAATAACCTACAGAGGTTTTTCATAATGGAAAACAGAAAGCAGTGCAGGATGCACCGACTGAGTACAACATATGGATCCATAAGGACATGCTGGTTCTCTCCAGTGCAGTGGTTTGGTGGTGGTGGTTTCACAGTCAGTTGTATTGGTGATTCTTGTTGGTTTGCTCCACAGTCTAGACGTACCTTACATGCAGTGTGTGTAACTAATTGTTACTGTTGATTGAGCTGTAATGTGTCAGCATTAAACCAAGCTTAATATGAGAGGACAATATCTGGCATATCTGGCCCATCATGAATCTTGTGTATTTTAAAAGCTTTAAACAAACCAGATGTGTCAGAGCATCCTTATACTGGGTTGACGCTCTGTAACAGTGATTTTTTTTTTTGAGTTGGCATTAAGTTCTAACACCTAATTTCTGGCACTAGCTACTTGAGGCTGAATGTGGCTGCGCTTAAAAGTCGGTTATGATGAAAATACACAGTGGTTTGCATTCATGCTGATCTGAAGTGGTGCTAACAAAGACCTGGCTTTGTGCAGCTGCCAAGTGTGTCAGAGTTTAGTGAACTTCACTTTTTTGCTGGCTGGATAGCAGGATCCTGACCTGAAATCACATGGGTTACACAGATCTGTTGGTGTGAGTAGTGTGGCTGAACAAATCCAGTTCATGCTCACACCATTTTGCCTGTGTTACTATCTCCCTTTAGTTTAAAGTGCTGTTTGCTATCTCCCTCTAGTTTAAATCTGACTTAGGATGGTTTCAGCTGAGCACGCCCCATGGGGCAGCGTGTGCTCCAGGAAAGTGCTTTGCAAACTGGATTTTTAGGTTTGGGGTTGGGCTGTTGCCCATCCCTGATGGTGCATCCTGTGGTTAGTCCAGGTACAAAAGGATGGAGATGCGTGCCCAGAACACGCTGAGGACTTCTGAGGAGACCATGTCTGTCCTGCTGAACCAGATACACGAGCGCAGGTGAGCTGTCTGCTGCTGGCTGAAAACAGCTTTGGCCCCATATGAATTCTGATTGGTATGAAATTAAAATGCCTCTTTGTAGCAGAGCCTGATCTTCACAGCTTTTAAGGCAGAAAAGGTTGTGTGCCTCTAACTGTTCTGTAAGTGGAGTTTCAGATGTATACTTCTGGTGGTTTGTCCTGCTTCTTAGGGCAGAGAGGATGGATTAGTCAATACAAAGAAAGCTTGAGTTAGGAGTGGCTGATGTAGACAGCCAGAGAGTGCTGTTTGCTGTCATCATTGTTTGCAAATCTGTTAAAAATCCTCTTGTTACACTTAGTAGCTTTTGTTGCTGTGTTTTTAAGAGAGTGAACAAACAAGCCAGGCTAACTTTGTTACTGAACTGGGTGAGAATAAAAGTAAGGGGTTATTTATTCCAGCTTTGTTATAGACCCATTTCAGTAGATTGTCTCTGTTCACTAAGTCCACTGGCTGACATTTGTTTCATGTGTATTCACCTGATGGGGCTTTCAACAGGTCCTTTTGCTTTCTGGCTTGTCAGATTTCTCAGATTGGAGATGTATTCAAAATCAGGTGCAATCATTATGGATTTGTTATTGGCAAAATACAGGCATAACTTGACATATGCAAATCTATCTGGCCTCTGTGCATGTTGTTTGCAGGATTTAGATGAAGTAGGGTACAAAATAGTCTTTATTTAATAATAGTCTTTATATAATCGTAGTCTTTATTTAATAATTGCGTGGGGAAACTTATTGTATGTTCTGTACTGAGCCTCAGAGCAAACAGCCTCTGTGCTGCTACCTGAGGAAGGTTGTTTGGCCAACCTACACCTTTGATTTGGCGTGGTAAAGCTATTTGCGTGCCCTGAGAACAAGACTTCCCTGTCAAGCCCAGCAACGACACATGCCTCTGCCTAAAGGCAGGTCTGATGTTCAAAGCAGAGAGTGGGGATGTCAGTCACCTTGTGCTGCTGATCCCTGAAAACTCGTCTCTGATTTGTCATCAGACTGAATAAGCTGGACACCTTCCAGAAGACTGTTGTTGAGGAGCTTGCCAGCCTTGAGAAGGAAACCCAAATCTTGTCAAACATGGAGAAGGATGCTATGGTGTGTATGACTCATCTTGTGCCAGCCTGCAGGGGTGCCCCTTCCAAAGTAATTTGGGGTTTCTTTGGGGCTCTTCTTAGGACTTCTGGAACACCCAGTTACTCAAAATGAATTCTCTCTTCAACCAGCGGAATCAAAGGTACGCATCTGCTGTCAGTTGTGCCTGCTCACAAGTCCTGTGATGGCTTCAAGTTAAAGAAGTAGCTACTTAAAAGGAATAGCCTGAAGCTGGTATGGCATCTCTGCTCTGTTTGCTGATGGAGCCTTTGCAGTCTTGTGAGGTCCGTGAACTGGGACTAGGGCTCAGTAGGGGACTCTCTGCATGGGAAGCTGTGTAGGGTGGGCACACCTCAAGAGACCTGTAACAGGGTCTGGAAAGGGATGAACCCTCAGGTCATGTCTGTGTGTAATAGGGGTCAGAGGAGGTGATCCTTTCCTGTATTTAAAAAAGAAAATAAAATGCTGTTGGTACAAGTGCTCAGCAAGAAGTTGCAAAAGGGGGAATCCCAAGGTTCACTCTTATTGGTAAATATCACTAAGTTTCACCACAGATCAACTATACAAGCTTACTTTTTCTTCCAGAATTCAGTCTGCTGACTCAGCCCTGGGTGAGGAAACCTGGAGCTTTGCCAGTACGATCCAGGATCCAGAACACCACAGTAGGTGCTGTGCCCAAACCACTCTAGGCGTGTGATTGTGACAGGAACCATCATGTAGTAATACTTCTCCTGGGTTCTTATCTGAAGGATTCCATTATCTGTGGGCTGGCTTTAGTGTAATCAGTGGCCTGTGTAGCTCTTTAAGGATAAGTTCCTGTTACAAGCCCTAAGCTGCTCATGGTGCAGGCATTTCCTTACCACAACTGCTCCTGGTGAAGGGTCCCTCACAGAGCAGCAGGGCTGAGAAAGGAGCAGTCACATCATGGGAGATGCTCATCCTGCAGTGCCTTGTTCCAGGCTAGGTATTTGGGAGTTAAAAGCTGAAGTTAAACATTCTCTTCACCTCTCTGCATTTTATTGTCTAATGCAATGTAAAAGCTTATTCAAACTTCATTGCCTATTTTTTTCTTTACAGTATGAATGCCCAATGAAGAATGCGGCAGAAAACAATGTTCCTTCTGACTAGCAACCTCTGGATTCACAAGAGCTCTTCATGTTTGAGCATCTTATGCCACACAGAAAAGATGGTCATGTGAAGGATATGTTAATCTACTTTAAGTGGAAAGAAAAATTGGGGGGGGGGGAAGAATGGCAAACAACATTGTTTTCACACACACACAAAATCTCAGTATTAATGTAGACTGCTTGAAGGTTCCGGTTTTGACTCCTGTGTCAGTAACATCAAGATTTTCTGAAAAATGCAAGACAGGTCCACTATATACCAAAGAAATAGAACTAAATAATATGGTTTATCCAACAACCTGATATGTATTGGCTATCTCTGAGTATTCTGTTAATACCCTTATCAAATGTAAAAGTACTTTGATTCTAAGTAAAACATTCTTTGCATAACAGAACCAACTTCTCATTCCTGAATCGACGCGCTATGCATGCCTGTTGAAAGACACTTTCTAGAGTCCTGTATAACCTTTGTGGAGTGTTTGAAGGGTAGCCTTTCTCACCTGCATGCAGCACTGTGGGAACTACTGGCTTGAAACCAGAGCCACTTGATTCTTGTTTGCAGAGATGAAAACCCAGAGGGATCACTAGATGTTGGCCAGATGCCTGATGGCACACTGGGGACTGTGGAGGGTAAGAAACCTGGAGCATTGCAGAGAAGAAAACGTGAAGCTGAAGAATTTTTTTAAAACCAGGAACTATTGGCTTCTAGGAGAGTGCAAAGTACAGAGTACAATGTTAGGATAGATAAGTAGCATCTAAAGTCTTGACAACAAGCAGGAGCTAAGCTGTGCTATTTAACATCATCCTCTATTTCAACTGAATTTGCTAAATTACGGTTGCTTTTCACATGCTGCATTTAATGCTGTGGCAAACTTCACATGTGCTTGTGCATCATAATGAATGTGTGGGAACACGGCATGTTTCCAAGCTCTGTCTCCCTACTTATCTTGTAGAACAGACTTCAGATTACTGGGTGGGTCAGAGTTGAAGGAATCGTCCCTGCACACAGCATACCTTCACAGCAGAAGCCCAGCTTTGTCAGGGTTTGTTTCACTGCTAAATACCTTCTGGGGAGCTGAACCTGTTGTCTTCCGAAGATTGTGCAGGGTAGTGCCTGAGTGGAGAACACTGAGCATCTGTAGCTGCTGTCACGGCATCGCTTGCTGGAGATACTTGCTGGAGATTGTGCTCGTGCCTTTAGCTTAAGTATTCCTGGCTGGGATTGGTGTGAGTCAGGATCTGAATTCTGCAAGTTCACTGAATCTCCACTTGTAACCTGCATCCTTGGGGCACGTGTCATCTTTAGGACAGATGTTGCCTTGGCTGGACTGGTTTAGGCTTGCTTGCCTGCGTCTACCACAGGGTTATTGCCCAAAGGAAGTTTTGGAACAGGAACAGTGTGAAACATGATAGCTCTTTCTGCTGTGAGTCCTATTTTGCTATGTTTCCCCACTGTGTGTGGTAGGAGATGCAAAAAGAGCATTCTACCATGACTTGAAGGAATACATAGAGATGTTTTTCATGTGTAAGTATTTTTACTAGGGCATTTAGAGGAACAAAACTGAAGCATAGTGTCTCATTATTGAATCCTTGTCTAATCTCTTAGTAAGAAGCTTGGAAGATGTGTTGAACACTTTAGAGGGCTTGGAAAATCAGGATCTCTCCCTTATTAGAAGTTACCATTGTTGTATGCATTCACACTTGTTTTTAACAGATTTATTGGAGAAGTCTCAACACTAAAAAACCCTTTTACTGTTAGGGGAAGGGGAAGAGCTGCTGCACAGCTCAGATGTCTGTTTGCCCTGTGCTTTTTTGTATTCCTGTATATAAAATGCTTTACCAGTTGAGAAGCTCAGCAACCTGTAGACTGTCCAAGGTGGGAGGACATGCATGTCTTTTCCTAATGGTCTTTGTCTGTAGTGAGCAACAGATGCATGTAGAGACAACCTCTGGAGCAGGACTTAGTTTTTCTATCCTTGGACAGCCCATCTCATACAATTTCCCATGCTGTTTGGCAGGTTTGAGGTGAAATCCCCTGAAGTCTTAAGTCCACTCAGTTTCTGCAGATACTGTGTTGTCAAAATGGCCTTGTGTGAGTTATCCTAACATTTCCTTTTGGAGGTCATTTTGCTCACCTTGTCTTTTTTCCTGAGCAGGTCTCCTTACTCCCTGATGCTTTTCATCATCTGATGCTTTTCATCATCTAACTGACTTTCTTTTAAGTATTCCTTAGCCAGTTGCTTCTTTTAATTTCTTCTTTTTTGTTTTTATGTAAGTAGGTAGAGCTCAGTTTTCATCCTGTTGTATGAGCATCACCAACAAACATGATGTGGGTGCTGTGAAGACGCATAAAGGCATCAGTACCCAGAAAAAGAAGTGGGAAATAGGAAGTGCATGTAGAGGATAAAAAAGCATGAAGCAGTTATCTCTTAACCACTTCAATTAACCAGTTTAATAATAAACCCTGTTATAGGCCGTGGTATCTCTATACCATATCTCTTTTGGGGTACGGTGCTCTGCCAAGAACTTGTTTACCTGCACGTTCTGTATCAATGCAGTGATCTGTCCAAGGTCTCCTGTCACCCAGTGGCAAGCCTGCATGAAAGCCACAAGACACCAGCAAAGGGGGTGCCCTCTGGGGCTGGAAGAAGGCCGAGTGACCAGGGACCTGTGTATTTTTGCTTGTCCTGGCCTGGGGTCAGTCTGCCCTGCCCTCAGCAAAGCTGCTGGGGCTAGCTGTGTGCTGGGACACGTCCTGCTCCTGGAAGTGGCATGACTGTTTCTATGGGAGTGGTGTGCTGGAAAATGGATGTGCTTCCAGGAACAGCTGAGAGTTAGTGTATACTGAAACTGAATGAAGCAATAGAGCCTTTCTTGGTCATATATTATAGGGTGGTTTTTGTTTGTAATGAGCAATTGCTGAGAAGAAAGCGCTACTTAGAGCCAGATGGTGAGAAAAGCCCAACAAAGCTGAGCCTTGGCATACATCAGCAGCCTGATTTTTGTCCTGTAATTCCAGTTCCTGGAAGGACCTTCTTAAAGCTCATTCCTTCCTCTTTGCTTCCTGGGAGGCTACTACTGTCCCAAAGCAGCAAATCAAACTTGATAGCTTTCTCTCCTCTACTTTGCTTCCCTTTCCTTCTGCATGTACCCTGCAGCGAGCCTGAAACATCAGGCCAAGTGTTTGTCTATCACTTGTCTGTTCTTTTCATCTGAAATAAATGATATTTTTTGGAACTGAGTTCAGCTGGGACCTAATGGAGGATAACTGAGAGGCAATGAAGGAACAACGCTGAGAATCAAAGGATGACCTAGTGAGCAAGTATGAGCTTTGAACAAACAAATTATTCAAACATTAGCTTTCTTTAAAAGATAAACTTATGTGGGCACTGGAGAGCTGTGTATGGAGATCTAGGAGGCTCCCAGCTACAGTACCATCTGGGTTAGAAAAATGTGCTAATTGGCTCGATAGGTCTGTTTAAAATTACATCAGAAAAGACAATTTTGTGGCATTTCCATGGGCATTGAATCTCAGTATGAAAGTGTATGTTGGCCAAAAGGAGGGTAGCTAGATGAACATAAGTCCCCAAAAGTGTGGTGGCTTTTTGGAGGACAGTCCTGCTTTGTAATCAGCATAACTCCTTGCAGTGGAGTCTACTCCACTGTGGGGCAGCCACCCTTTTGCCTTGTTTTCTGATATTGTAGTCCCTACAAAACTGCTAGCTGCCTGCCTGGCCTGAAGTAGCAATCATAACGTGTGGCTAACTTCAGTGGCAGAAATATTTGTTTTTTAATATTTTTATCTCATAATAAATAAACTTGAAAAATGCTTTTAAGTTATATCCTAGTGCATATCTGGCTGCTTCAGCCTTCACTTGAGCATCAATGACCTTTAGGAAAATACTAGCAACAACCTGCTATGGAGATCACAAGCAACTCGTAAGAAGTGCTGCAGTGAACCTTGGTGTACAATATCTGGTCTTCCATGCCAGCCCTTGATGTCTGCATGGCTAATGGTGATGCCTAACCAAGTGACTCATGTATCCAAGTCTTTAGGCCTTTCCTGGTTATAGGAGAGGAGCTGCCAGCAGCATGAAGTTCTTGCGCTATCTACCCAGAGGAAAGGCAATGTACTGGAAGGACATTAGAAAAGGTGATTGCATTTGGGGTATTGCTAGAAGATGACCATGGTTAAACATGGTGCTTTTGTTCATTTGTTTCTGTTACAGAATCACAGAATCATCTAGGTTGGAAGAGACCTCCAAGACCACCTAGTCCAACCTCTGACCTAATACTAACAAGTCCTCCACTAAACCATATCACTAAGCTCTACATCTAAACATCTCTTAAAGACCTCCAGGGATGGTGACTCAACCACTTCCCTGGGCAGCCCATTCCAATGTCTAACAACCCTCTCAGTAAAGAAGTTCTTCCTAATATCCAACCTAAACCTCCCATGGCACAACTTTAGCCCATTTCCCCTCGGCTGTCACCAGGCACATGAGAGAATAGACCAATCCCCACCTGACTACAGCCTCCTTTAAGGTACATGTAGAGAGTGGTAAGCCACTAGCCTCCTCTTTTCCAGCCTGAACAATCTCAGCTGCTCATCGTAAGACTTGTTCTCCAGTCCCCTCACCAGCTTTGTTGCCCTTCTCTGGCCTCTCTCGAGCACCTCCGTGTCCTTCTTGTAGCAAGGGGCCCAAACCTGAACATAGTACTCTTGGTGTGGCCTCACCAGAGCATGGGGGGATAATCTGCTCCATGAGCTTCCCTGTTACTGAAGTCAAACTAACAGGCCTATAGTTTCCCGGTTCACCCTCTGGCCCTTCTTGTAGATGGGCATCATGGTTGCTAGCTGCCTGTTGACTGGGACCTCCCTTGATAGCCAGGACTGCTGATAAATGATGGAAAGCGGCTTGGCCAATTCTTGAATTTCATAAAAGAAATTCTTGTTAGTGAATATGGGAAGGTGTATTGCTTGCCTGTTGGGCTGTACGAAGTGCTCCTCCTCTGCCATTCCCTTGTAGTGGTCCAAACATGCTACTGGGTGAGCATGCCCAGCAAGCTTCATCTTCAGCTGGTAAAGTGTGGTTTGGAAATTGCACATAAACATAGCACAAGAAAGTCTGTGCATGGGCGGAGAAAAAGATCTATGTAAGGGCTGCAAAGAGATCAAATGCAAAAAGCCTGCTTTCTGTGAATATAGCTTGAAGCACTGCATGAACATGTAACTGCCTGAAGATCTCCTCAGCCTGTATGTTGGTAGGAGCAGCTTTTAGGCTGGATCCTCTTTGCCACCATCAGCACCAGCTGAGACCTTAGACTTCCTTTCATCCTGCTCCTATGGTTTTATTGGATCTGCTCCAAGGAGAAATAAAATGCATCTTTCAGAAATACATAAATACTTTCTCAAACCTGAAGGGGGAAAAAGAAGTAATAGTTTTATGAGGATAAAATTCTAGCATTTTCACATAAAATGAGGATAATCTGTTTCCTTTTATTGCCCTAACTGGAATTCAGAGGCTGATCTGGGCCAGGCTCCCACTTCTTGTTCATTTGAAATAATTTTCCAGGAACTGAGTGTTAGTTAAAAGCCTCTTGTAGTTGCTAAGTCTGCAGAAGAGTCACTGGAAATCCACATGCTTCTTTCTAGGCAGTGTAGACTGTTTAATTTACTCATTTTTTCTTTGGTAGAACTCCGAAGAGGATGTCTTGAAGCCTTTATACAGCAGAAACAGCATGCACAAGAATAGTGATGCATTTGGTAAGGCAGCCTACACTGACTGACAGCATTCCCCATCTTGGCACAGAATGGTTAAACCAGGCCCTTCCCCACCCACCACGCTGGTATATTTGGGTGAAGAGGTGATATTTTTAAAATCACAGCACGTCTCAATGATGATGTTCCAAGTATGCCTTCACACCATCATACGCAGCAAAATCTAGAGATGTTTTTCACTGTTGTCTGTGGGGTACCACAGAGTACATGAAATTAAGTGTGAACAAAACGAACTGAGAGTCAAGCTTGCTTGGACTAGCAAGTGGGATGCAATACCCTTCCTCCTGTGCAGTTTAGAAACTTCTGTCTGTCCAAGATTGCTCTTTTGATGCTCTTATAAAGGATGAATCGAAAGGATCTCTCCAGCTGAAATGTGCAAGGTGAGAGAGAGAGGCCTGGGAACACGGAGGCAGCAAAGCTACACAGTTTAATTTTTGAGAGTCTGTTTGGATTTAATTTGGGGCTGTAAGTGTTTTCTCTCTGCTGGGAAAGGCAAACTCAGTGTGAGGTATTTGCATCATCTACTTCATGCATCTGAACCAGGACACAGAGGAATAAAGCTGGGAGCCTACGTTGCCTGTAGAGCCACTGTTAAGAAGTAGGACTGTCTGCAAGGGACAGGGATGTTTAGTCTAAGAAAGGTACCTCAGGTAGGAAGTGTAGAAATCCCATGTCTGCACACTGTAGGAAACTTTGTCCTATCAACCCAATTATTGTACAAGTAGGTATGAATGTGGGATGCAGAAATACCACCTGCCCAGTCAACTGTGGGCAGAGCACAGCCAACAGTTGTATGAAAACCAAGAGAATCTTAACACCACTGTGAGTGCAGGTGGTGTGTGGTTTTGGGAGATTTCTCTTGTTCTGAGTGGAATGGCCTAAAAGCTTTCTGAAAATTTTCAGAAAGAAAGTGATCTCTAGTTACCAGTTCCCGGTAATTCACGCCGTAAACAAAGGGGAGGAGAGACAACCCAATAGTAAAATCTGTTTATTTACAGTGTTATGTATTACAGGAAAATCAGTTTAAAAAGTCAATGCTTCTTTTTCTTCAGAGTTGCAGCATTTTGAAGATGTTAAGACAGATCTGAAGAATTTAAACCATACCTGATTTGATTCTAGCCTGCCTACCTGGTCTGGATCTGAAAGGTGAGACCATCTTGTTTTTTTCTTTTTTTTTTTTCTTTTTTTTTTCTTTTTTTTCCCAGCCCTTTGAGCTTCAAGTAAGGCATTTATTTATTTTTATTGAGGTTTCAACAAAACACAATCAATATCTGTGGGTTTGGTTGCCATAGTAAACTTTAACACTTAGCGTGCTGACATGGTCTGCGCTGGTAGTCAAACACATGCTTTGCCATCAAAAAGTTAGGGACTCCACTCAGCCTAAAATCCATGCTTGGACACACAACCATTTTGTTGTCTGCCTCAGCCAAATGGTTCAGCTGGTTGCCTTGCATACTATCTTGTTGCTTCTTCTGATTCCCTCTACATTTATCCCTTCTGGAGGTGTTTCTTGGATCAAGCTGACATCTGCAGAGCTCTGAAGCTCTCCCTTGACTTGGTGCTATGTACAACACCCTCGGTCAAACCCAGTAATTTCTTACAGCTTGTGAGTTTTACTGTATTGACCAGAAAGATCTGCAATATCTCTGGAAGGGCTAGTGAGAACTAGTGTATACACCGAGTCTGGGCTTTGTGTCTATTTTTTTGGTTGCTGCCTTCCCTCCTTATCAAATGTTAGATAAAGTGAAACGCTGACCTTCGCTGTGGTCAGCTGAATGAAGAGAGAGCAAATGTGACTATGCAGCAGCTAGATGTATGTCTGTGGTGGTGTAAAAGCGTTTGGGTATTGCAGTAATTTTGGTTATCCAGTTCACAATGATGTAGTTTAATGGCCAGGTAGCTCAAGCGTACTGCCCATGCTGCAGCATAGTAAGGGCTTCAGTTTTCTGCTGGTGATGAAGGGTTTTGTTCATGCTGTTATGGAGTAGGAACTACAACTGGCTTGAGATGGGTCATCCAATGGGACTTTCAAGCACAAATTCAAATTGCACTCTGACCTGCACCACTTTTCTCTGTGCCACTTCCTCCTCTTGCTTTTGCAGTCCAGAAACTTCTCTTCTTACCCCTGTAACCATCCTGTACCTTTTCCTCTCTCCCTCTACTCACTCTCTTTGCAGCCTCTCAGGGTGTTCCCAGCAAGGCTGGCTACCCTGCCTCTTGTCCCAGGACAAATCTCCCTGCCTTTGTGCCTGCTGTCTCCAAGAGCCGCTGATGAAAGATCAGCTTGAGAAGGAAAAAACTAACTTGGGAGGTGGAGAAGGATTAGAGGAGCTGGATCTGGGGCAGCTTTCTCTCCTCAGAGGTCCCCTGCTGCTGCTTGACCTCTGCTGGCTGTGTGCATGCGGTTCTTCTTCCTCTGTGGGACCCTGCAGGGCAAGGGGAGGGAAAGGACATGGTCCCTTTACAGAGCTGCGTTGGTCTCTCAGGCTTGCTGGGTTGGGGTGACTCCAAAGGTGGTTTCATTGAGAGAATGCAAGACTGGAAGAGTCCAAAACTACTTCATGATGAAAAAGGGAGAGGAAAAAGGCTGTGTTTGCTTTTAGCAGAGACTTTGAAATGGTCTAAGTGAGAAAAGGGAATGTAGCAGATTCCCAAAGCTAACCATGGGGATTCTTAATTTCTACTTGTAAGTGGGAAGCAAAAGCTAACTGAAGCTGCAGAGATAATGACTGACTTTTGTGTGAGACGCACCATTACAACTACAGGCAGGAAATATCTTTCTGCTTTCCCTATAGAAGACTGTGCCCTAGTCCCAGTCTCTCCTGTCAGACAGCAGTCTGAATAAGGCCCACCTAGTGCAGAAATCCCTGTATGATGTACTTGGCTTGTTGTGATGTTCACTTTTAAGACTTTCATCATCTTCCTGTCTATTAATATTTGGTATGCCAGTTTCCTTTAGACTAACAGTGTTTGTATAGGGTTAACTTTTTGCACATTTACACTCAAAGGATTTATGTTCATTAAGTCGCTGAGCTCCTGTTTCTTCCAAAATCCATTTAGTTACATCTCTTTTAATTTAGGACATCCAAAGAAACTTGCTTTGCTCTGACTGGAGCTCAAAACTCCACATCACTGTGCAATGTCATGTATTCTAAATTCCATATCAGACAGCCTCCAGGTGCTACCTGTCCCAGCCCCCTGATGCAGCAAACTCCTGCCAACCTTTGTGTTATTTGAGCCAGTTTGCCCATACATAAAGCAAGCAAGCATGGTACCTGTTTGTCTACAAACCCTGGGATTGTGCACCTGGTCTTTGCCTTCTGCTACATCCTTCCTCAGAGCTCCTGCAGGAACAGAGACCTCACTGGTGTCTATGGGAGGAAACATGCTTGGGGAGAATGGCCGGGAAGTGGCGGAGAGGGGTATGGTAATGGAAACAGTATTGTTCTCATCTCTCTTCTTCTGACCTTAACCACAGTTTAGCTGAATGTGCTGGATGCACTATGAAGACTTGTCTCGAGACATCTCACATGCATAGAAAGCGCTCAGGGTGTTAAGTCTGAAGAGAGTCCTAACCTTTTGAAGGCTTTGAAGGATTTATCCATCAACCATTTTATAAGGCGTTTTTGTGTCAGCATTACTAATCAGAAAGATTTTCTGTTTTGTGTGAGAAGGATGTTGGCCTTGTTGTTCTGGTGGTGATCTTTGACAGGACAAATAAATCTACTTGTTTTGTTAAAACTTAAATAGCAGTACATTAAGAAGTGTCTGGTACAAAGAACTGATAAATGTAACCAAATAGGTTTTCAGCTAAAGCCTGTACTTCAGTCTTATTCTTTTTAGAAAAAAAAATCATGGGAAATACTATACTTATTGTGCTTTCTTATTCAGGAATCCATTGGCAGCAGTGAAGTAGTCCTTATGGAAACCATTCTTTACTTCTGTTGTGACAGGGGTCTCCTTTACAGCTGTTCTTGAAGGTGCTTTCCGGTATGTCTACAAAAGCAAAATGAAAAGTAACTACTTGGATTTAATTAGTGTTCCCCAAATGCTATTTATGGTTAACTGTAAAATGGTGATGTCTGGTGTTTGTTGATGCAGGTACATATTTGCTTTAGACTTTGTTCAGGGATTTGTATTATTTGTGGATGATATTGCCTCCCTAGTATTACTGTAATACTTCTTTGTGTCTAAAGGGGTCCTTTTCACTAGAAGCTGTATGTATGCAGGCAGGCTGGGGCATTCCTTGCTAAAAAAAAAAAAAAAAAAAAAAAGTGAATGATGCAAAAACAGAACTGCTTGTTTTTTGCTCTTCCAAGAAGGGAGGAAAACTCAAAGTTGCTAAGCAGAGCAAGTTCAGACCTCCTAGGTCCTGCATGCAGTACCTGACAGGCTACATGAGTGCAGAATTGAGCGCTGGCACAAGACTGCACTTCAGTGCAGTATAGAAGAGCTCAGCTGCAGTGTCACTACTGACTGTATTTTGGAGACACTACTGCATCTATTAGTCTTAACTGACATGTCTATGTGAACACAAACATATTTAGGTACTGAGGTTTGTTGTATATGTTTTGTATGTGGTTTGTGTCAAGACCACTATGCAAAAAGCTTGCTTTCCCCCACCACCCACCATTTTGGATCAACAATCCTTTCGGATAGACTCCTTACCTTAATGTAAAAGTTTACAAAGAGAATGACCAGTGTGGCCATGTAGGAAGACTGGAACATGAGGCAGCCAAATGGAAATCCACATGGCTTCACAGCCGCACTGAGTGTGTGCACAATAGTGAGCAGAAACTGGATCTGGAGAAGACAGATCATGCATGAATATTTACTGAGAAAAAAAGGTTGGTACTAGCTAAATCAAATATAACAATGATACCTAGTTCTGCCCTTTTGAAATTTTGAGTATCCTTGAACACTCTCCCTTTCTGAACAAGTGAATGCATTGTGAGGGTAAGGTTAAAAAGGTGCTCCTGTGACATCTTAAAAAAACAAACAAAAAAAAACAAACACACAAAAGGGTGGGATATTCCTATAAATAAGAGGTTCTAGGCAAATGGTTGGCAAAATGAAAGCTGTTTTAACAGGAGTTGTTATATCTTCTAGGCTGTGTCATGCCAGGTACAGTGTTGCCTCTGTTATTGGGCAGAAACCTGAGAAACTCTGAAGACTCAAGGCAATGGCTTTGCAAGTTTGAACAGAAAAATAGAAATCCCAGGAGTGACAAGAAGTGTAGTAGGAGGGCACTAGCGCTGACAGAGCTAAGATGGGGACAAATGAAGCAAAAAAATGGGGTGGAAAAAGAGGGTTGATGGTATTTTGGACTGCAATACCAGCCAATTCTGCTGTATCTGTCTCTCGCTCACCAACTGAGGGTGCCCTCAGTCCAGCAAGCTGGGGTGCACTTACATGCAAACAGGGCAGCCTGTTCTAGCTGCAGGGGTGATCCCAGCTCAGATAAGAGGCATTACCTAAAAAACAATTCTACAGAGGCATTTTTAAGCTCACTGCAAACTCCCAAATGAGATGCACAGGTTGTAAGATTAAAAAAGTGAAGAGAACACTTTTTTTTTTCATATCAAGCCTTGCATTTTGTTCATAGCATTTGGCATGACTGTTCTTTGTTCTAAAAGCTGCTGGTACAGACTTTTAGAAGTCTGCTCTGTCTTGTTGTCTAAGAGTTGTTTATATCTTCTTGTGTTTCATAGTTGTACCACAGTTACACTTCTTGTTTGAAGTGACTTCTTGATTTTCTTCACTGAACGAGTTTTTCAAACTGTAAAGCCATTTAAGTGTGCAGTGTATCTTTTTAATGTTTTACATAGTCGGTAGCTTTCACAGTTTTTTAATCAGTAGTCCATTTACCATGATTAAGCAGCGTCCATTTTCTACATAGGAGATCAAAACTAATGGAGTTTTACGGACTGCAGAGTTTCTACTGCATTGTAGAAAATAGTTTCAAGCATTATTTCAGTTATTAAATTTTACTGGGCTGTACTAGTGAATTACTGTGCATGATAGCTTTGTTGTAACTGGATTCTAACTGGCTTAATTCTACAAATGACTGTTTGTCCATCGTTTGTTTTGTCCTCTCTGACATTTCTGAAGGACTTCTGTCCATTAAAAATGGGAGTAATGTAGATACGTACCAATTGTGCCTGAGTGAGGTATTTCTTCCACCACAAATACTTGCGCATAGAAGGGATGACTGACAGTCCATAATAAGAATACATGAGCACGTGGATAAAGCTATTCAAAGTGGGTCCAAAGAAACCTATGAACATTCAACACAGAAAACATTTTATATCACCAACTGCTAAAAAATTAGAAGATATTGCTGCTAGCAGTGCCTCCTGAATACATTAAGTTTTCACTCAGTGCTGTGGATTACTGCTGCTGCACCCTAGGTGGCACCTGTCTCCTCTGATGTAGTAGTAAGAGCTTTAGTCAGCCTCTGAATGAAACTTGCTTGGTGTGACTTTATTTGAGCATTGCTCTCGCTTTCTTCAGGGGCTCTTCTGCTAGATGCAGATTTACAGAATGATTTCCAGAATGTTGTGGCACCTTGCCACTCTCATTAGCTGCACTTAGTAAATACTGGATTGAGATTGAAAGAATTGCCCTCTGTACCTTACAGAGTACTGAGAAGCACCAGCACTAGTCTATCTGATGTATGACCATGTGTTTGATAGCAGTGCTTGACAACAATGAGATGGTCTCGTGACTGGTTTTGATTTTTCCGCTGATTAATTACTAAATAATTATTGATTAATTACTGGACTACTGTTTTTCCACGCTGTTAATCATAATAGCAAAAAATGAGTGCAAAGTGTGGGAATTATTTTCAGACACACAGGTTTGTGTGCTTTCCATTAACTTTGCTCCATTGAGTTTATCCCTCTACAGAAACAGCTTGTAGCTACTATGAAATCCTTGATCTCTGCTTCCACCTAGAACAGTAATTTACTTGGACTTTGTGCTGGCCAAAACAAGTACGAACAAATGGCAATCCTGCTTTCTGATACCGAAAAATCCCTGCAACAAATTGCCTTACAAAATATTTCTGGGGACCGAGGTGATTCCGTTTAACAGCTTAAAATTAGGAAAACCAATTTTCTTCTCAACTCCGATAACAAAGCTGCGGAAAGCCTCCAGTTGTATGAAGCCCTGGAAAAGTATGTGTTATGAGACACATGAAATAGTTCTCTGCTCTTTGTTGGTATGCAGATACCAAGTGAGCAGCCTGTGGCACTTCCCCACCTCAACGGGGAAGATGATGGCTATTTCAATAGCTTCTTAGGACCCAAGACACTTAGATATTACTGTTGTGAAACATGGCACCCAAAGTGTGATGAGCCAAGAAGTCTGATGCTTCTACTACTTCAGTGTGAAAAATAAGACAGTACCCATTAGTTTTGGCTGTCCTGTTCAGAATTCAAGAAATAGTTTTGCTTTTTGCCACATTTGCTTGAAGGAATGTTGATTTAGTTTGGCCTGCTGTGGGCCCTTATGTTGATTCTATCACAAGCATAAATTTATGTAAGTTTTAAAGATTAAAGTAACTTTGTAACATAGATAACTTAAAATGTTGTTTGCTATGTAAAGACATGAACTAGTAATTGTTAAAAACAATCCCTGATGTGGGAGAAAACCCTTTTTGTTTACAACAGCTTACAACAGCTGTCTAATGGCACAGCAATCTCATTGGAAAAAACAAAACAAACAAAACCAAAATAAAACAATCCCAAAACAAAACTACTTGTATTTTAATTCGTGGTTGTGTAAGTGAAGTATCTTGCCAAAGCAGAATATAACAGATTGATGCATATAGGAGTGGAATTTCCTGCTCCAGCAGGGGGATTGGATTAGATGATCTTTCAAGGTCCCTTTCACTCCCTAACATTCTGTGATTCTGTGTGAGATCTGCAAAAATGCTGTTCTGATTGGCTTCACTAGGGTCATGATTTCATTCTACCTCTGCTTTTGACGTAGATTTTATATATGATCACTCTTCTGTACCAACCAGGAGCGTTACCCTGTCTAAAAGTGGTTTGAAGAAATGTAAATATAAGAGGTTGTGGCAGCTAAGTGGAAAATCCAGGGCCTAGTGCTCAGGACTTTTTTCTGCCCTGTACTTTTAACTATGCTTTTAATTTCACTGAGATCTGCAACTGTGCTGCAATTCTGAAAGAGGCTGTGAACCTTAATGGTGCTGTGCTACAGCAGCACAGTGAAGCACTTGCTTTGCATGGTGGTGCAATTCCCCCCCAGCAGCAGGTGATTCACACCCCAGGTGATGAAGTGAACAGAGACTTACTTTGCCCGCAGGGTATCCAGTTCAGGACACACCACCAGATATTAAACATGGTGGCATGGTGATAAACATGGAGGAAGGTGATCTGGCTACTTTTCTTCCTCAGTACGAAGAAGATAGTGTCCATGAATTCAATTACTTTGGAAAAATAATACCACCACAGCACCTTGGCTACCTGTGTGAGCAAGAACAAAGCAGCAGGAGATCAATACCTGTCCATAACAGGGCTTAACTATCGTTATACTTCATTAGTCCTTAAGCACACAATTCCCACAAAGGCATCAGTGTCCCACTGAAGGAGGAATACAAGCTCTGGCTTCAATTTTATTTCCTCTTTGAAGAGGCAGTGTATAGAAAATTCGTCATGTTTTAAAATGGGATTGTCTGAATATATAATTAAATACAATTTAAGAAAATATAAACTTGAGGATAGGTCTTTTAATTGTTCTGCTTTTTTGAATCAGAGATACAGTTTATTTTAAGGATGATATCATTTGTAGCTTCTTAACGCTGAATAGGTTACACAGGCAGCTTATTTTTTTAAATAATCCAAGTTTGACACTCAGCTCACTGGAATGTAACTCCTCTAAGGCTGAAATGGTTTATCAGAGCTCAGGATATGTCCTAGGGCAGTTAAAAACAGTTATTTAAAATGGAGGGGGGGGGGACCTTTTGTTGATGGGAAAAGGCACTTAACTGACCTCTTCTTTGCTAAAACACAGACAGAATTTGAAGGTTGGGGAAAATTGTGTGTTATCCAGTCTTTCAGCCCTTGAGCTCTATTGTTATCTGGAAAACAAGCCTGAAAGGGGGAACGATAAAGGGTTACTACATGGAATTGCTGTGATGCAATAAGAGTTGAAACTAGAAATGAGCCAAGGCAGCAGAATGGCTCTGAAGTTTTCCAACGTTTAGAGTTGGGTCCAAATATATTTCCAACTAGAGCCCAACATTGCAGGTAATGGATTTTTCTCCCGAGTTCTTAATGGATCCATATTGTCTGTTTTAATAGTCAGGCACCACTCTTTTGACCACAGACCTTGAAATACGTCTTTTAAAAATGCTCCCTGTCACGCTTTCAATGATCAGAATGCCTCTGCACTAAATAAAAAGCCTAACTCTGCTTGTTTGCTACCAGCTATCAGGCCACTCTGATAACACCCTCATGCTAAAGCTGTCCCTGATGGCATCAGTGCACCCGCAGTGCATGTGGAAGTGCTGCACCGCAGCGCAGGGAAGGAAGGCTGGCTGTGGGTGCTGGGGCTGAGCTGCTGCTGTGCCTCACCCGGATGTCGGCCTGCCCCTGCACTGTGGAGGTTCTGGCACTGCAAGTTGTAGCCTCCTTCCCATGTGGCAAGGATGAGCTGGAACAGAAAACACAGCAATTACATTCATAAACAAAGTAGTTCTCCTTTAGCTGTTCTGATTATTTTTTTTTTTAAATAGCATGAGAATATTGTAGGTTCCCATTAGTTCCATGAACTGATGCTCTTAGACCAGACAACTTGCTAATATCTTCCCCTTTGCAATGGAAAAGGTTTCACATTCTATTGGAAATACACACTGACGTGGTGCACCTTTTACATTCCTCTTGCTTTAGAGCCTTCAAGGCATCCACAAATATTTCTTGTTACTTAGTGCAGTGCTCCTGTAGCAGAATGAACAGAGCTTCACAGCTCTACTAGTGCAAAACCCTTCCTATCCTTGAGAAAAATCCTCGGTACCAACCAAGCAAAAAAAAGACAAATGTAAATCTAAAGTAGTGCAAGAGGAGAAATATTTCTTTATGCCACATATACATCACTTTATCCTTTATTTGTAAATGCAGGAAGAAAGAGAAGAGAGCGTGCGTGGTGCTGAGTGGAGAAACTGACAGACACAAAAGCAATTTCTGAGACTTTGTCCATGTCATGCTGGGAAGCAGACAAAGCAATGAAACGTCAGTCTACCATGCTGTGATGAAGCAGAAGGTATCTGGAAAGCCATATGGAGGGCTTTTGATGTGGAATGTTTTTATAGTAATGATTACCTAAAGCAACTGGCAGCTCTTTTGGGCAGCATTGTATTTTGCAAATCAACAACACTATGAGGTAGAGTTGAGAGATTTTAAAAGTGACTTCCTTACTTGAATATGTGAAAAGTACTTCTGTGGCCATGTGGCAGTTCATGTTCTGAGGTCTGCAGAGGGTGCAGCAAGGTATGGTGGGAGAAGTACACTGCAGAGTTACACTGTAAGCAGCGTTGCAAGATGCTGTGAGGCATGTGTTGTTTTTAACTCTGGCACTACATTCAGGGGAAGGTGTGTATTGGTGTCTGTACAGACCTTCCCCTCCACTTGAGACTGAAAAAGTCTCCTGTGCTTAACAAAGTGTGACAGACTATGTAAAGCAAAGTAGATTTATTCTCAGTGATCATATTGAATTAATTCCTAGAGTAAATACATATTAAGAGCAATAATTTCTTTGGATCTACAGAATTAGCAAATAAGTCAGAATGTATATTATAAATTCAAATTAAAATAACAAAAACCAAACAAACAAAACCAAAGACTTAGAAAGCCAAAGTTCTCTATTACTTTTTCTCTGAATCACATGCAGTTGTCCCTGTATTTCCAACATATTTAGTGTCTGTCTGCGGCCAAAATAATCAGTGGAGTATCTTTTAGATTGTGTGTGTATATATATTGAGAGAGAGATGAAGAGACAATATGTAGGTGTTTTAGATGGCTGCTATCGGAGAACTGAAACAAAACCACTCCTCTGGAGCAGACCCTGTTTCAGTGGATTCATCTACAGAGTGTGCCAGAGGTCACAAAACCAAACAGGATGGGACTGCGGTCTGAAAACAGCGAAAATCCAACAGCAAAACCTGTCTGGAGGTCCCCAAGCAAATGCTCAGTGCAGCTGAGATCACAATGTGTTTAGCCAAGCGTGTGCTGTGCTTGCAAGCATGCAAGGCTGGAGTTTGCGGACTCCTCTCCCTGCTTAACCTGCAGAGATGCTGAGGAGAAGGGGGTTAAAGCTCCTAGGTATGGCACTTTGTTTCCCTCCCATCTTTCAAAAATCAGCTGATTGGGAAAGGGTAGTTTCCAGTCCCAAATGCATGGGCTTTTTCTGTCCTCTGGGTAGAAGGAGGTGTACAGATCTGTGCCTGTGCTGCAGCTGGCAATGTGCAGCAGCTTCAGGAGCAATGTTCAGGGAGATGTTACTGCACAGTTGTTTTTACAGATGGCTCCTCTTGGTGCCTTTCCTGTGTGCTTTCCTGCGTTGGATATTCCCTCCAGTCAGAAGTGACTAAGAGATCCCTGAGAGACTGCTACTTTTGGAATAGGCAGGTACAGCATCGTTGATGGGCTGTTATTGAAGATTTGCTCTCAACTCTGCCTTGTTGCTTGAGAAATGCTGAAGAAAATAGAGTTGTCATCTTGCCCTTGGCCAGGAGCAGGATGGTCAAGCAGCATGGGGGTATCAGAAGCTCATTTGGAGGCAGCATCCTGAACTCCATCTGGGAGCTTTGGTAAGATATGGCCTCAAACACAAGCATTAACAGCTCTGCCAGAAACCTCTGTGGACAGTTCTGCAGAGAAAGTAAATGATATTGCCTCTTGCTGTTTTGTTATCTGACAGTAACTATGATAGCCTCGCAGCTTTATTGGTGGGAAGTGGTAGTAGTGGTACCATCTCTAGCCCTTGTGATTGTAGGGAGTTGAAGCTGTGCCCTTTAAAAACTCAAAATCCTAAAAACAAATAAAGGAGAAAAGATGACTGCCTTTCCCTTCTTGTAAAAAGCAACGTCATGGACTAGGAAGGAACTCTTCTCCTGCTTTTACTGAGGAACTGTAAATTATTATCATAAATGGAGTCTACTGCTTTGTTAAAGTAAGAACGTCCGCAATTTGTTGTATTTATCTGACACAATCTTTTGTAATCTACATTTATGATATGATGTGCCTATATTTTTTATCTTAGGCTTTTAAACAATTCTACCTTGTGAGAGGTATGTAAGTTTAAACAGTACTTTCGGTATCTCAGTTTCACTTGGTTCATTCTAATGCATTCTGTAACTGTAAATTTATACCTTTATTATGTTTAAATTGGTAAAATTTGTTCATTTTTCCTTTTCATGCATCTTTGGAAGTCTGTTATTGTGTAGGTTTTTGTTGTTGTTTTTTTCAGGTGGAAACTTTCATTGTGGAAACTTTTTTTTTTTTCTTCCCTTTTTTCAATCTTTTTTTTGGCATTCCTTAGTAGCTAATTCATTTTCTTCCCTTGAAAATATCAAATCTCACAAAACCCTCTGGTATGGTAGCTGAAACATTAAATTACAGAAATTTAATAGAAAAAAAAAAGCCATTTTAAATCTTTTGATTTGTCTGCTTTACAAATTTTCTGACTTGTATATGATTACAATAGACTGCTTTTTCAAAAATCTTTTTTTTGTTGTTGTTACAGGTTTGGAAACTTTCCTGCTGGTGCTATATTGAACTGGCTTGCTCACAAGACTGTTTCAAGAATTCCATTCATAGCTCTCAAAAATGAGATGAGAACTCTTAAAGGCTCAGAAACTTAAAAAATATATATAATTTAATTTCAGTATCATAGATTTTTAACTTGGCATTTCAAAAATCTGTAATTCATCACACCATGCAAACAGGGAGAAAAATCTGGGGTAAGAATATCACAACCTAGCTGCATTTTTTTTTCTTTAATTTGTTCTTCTGTTTGTTCTTCCATGGCCCTATATAAATGCCAGATTTGCAGACCATACTGTGTGCCTATTCCCCAGTCATTTCACTTGGCAGAAAAATTCCCTCTGATTTGTATCTGTGTTTCAACAGCCAGCAGCTTAGTGTGAAAACCTATTTTGAGTGCCTTAACCTTGTTCTTTCATGTTGGCTTTTCTGACATGTCAGCTTTCCATAGTAGGTGACTCGTATGCTGTTCATCTCCTTTAGGGAAAACAGGAGAATCCACTCTTTGAGTTTTGACTACTCTGCTTTGTAAGATACTTTTTAAGATTTCTGGCTAACTCCGTAATAAAAAGTTGGTGGTGAAACTTGGAAGGCAGAGAGTGCTTTTTGGCATCTTGGTGATCCCAGGCCATGACTTTCATGTTGGCTGTCTGTGATGTGGAATGAAAGCAGGTTACCTAATGGTATCAAATGAGCCAGCTGCGTATCTGGAACAGAAGCTGGTAACCTGACACAAGACATCCAGTTACTAGTGCTCTATTTCTATGATACCAAACTCATACATTACTTTTAGTGGTTCAGTTATGTTCCCTTCCACATGCTGAGCACTCTCATGATGGTACAGAACTTGTGCTATGTTTTATCATGCAGTGATTGTGTAAGTGCAGGATACAATAAAGAGATGAGAGATCCTCTCTCTCCCCCTTAAAAATACAAATTATCTTCCTAGAAAACATTCCTTTGGATGTTTTGCATTCTTGGCCACCTGGCTAATATTAACACATGCATTTTTTGATGCTATTTGTAAAAACGGATCAAAGAATCATTGAATCATAGAATATCCCGAGTTGGAAGGGACCCAAAAGGATAGAATCATAGAATCATAGAATATCCTGAGTTGGAAGGGACCCTTAAGGATCATCAAGTCCAACTCTTGACACCGCACAGGTCTACCCAAAAGTTCAGACCATGTGACTAAGTGCACAGTCCATGTGACTAAGTGCACAGTCCAATCGCTTTCTAAATTCAGACAGGCTCGGTGCAGTGACTACGTCCCTGGGGAGCCTATTCCAGTGTGCAACCACCCTCTCGGTGAAGAACCTCTTCCTGATGTCCAGCCTAAACTTCCCCTGCCTCAGCTTAAAACCATTCCCACGGGTCCTATCACTGGTGTTTACAGAGAATAGGTCACCTGCCTCTCCACTCCCCCTCATAAGGAAGTTGTAGACTGTGATGAGGTCCCCCCTCAGCCTCCTCTTCTCCAGGCTGAACAGGCCCAGTGCCCTCAGCCACTCCTCATACGTCTTCCCCGCTAGGCCCTTCACCATCTTCGTCGCCCTCCTCTGGACACTCTCCAACAGTTTCATGTCCTTTTTGTACTGTGGTGCCCAGACCTGCACACAGTACTCGAGGTGAGGCCAGACCAGCACAGAGTAGAGAGGGACAATCACCTCCCTTGACCGACTAGCAATGCCATGCTTGATGCACCCCAGCATACGGATCATGTAAAGAAGAAAATGCTTCCCTGTGAAAAAATTCTGCTAAGTAGCAACATCCTATTCCCTAGTAGACGTTTCGTATTTTGCTGTTGCTCTAGTGTTCTCAATAGATTCCAATTGTTACACCAATGAATGACCTTTGCTTATCTACTCAAGTATAAAGAGAATGAAGATTCACAATGGTTGCTTCACTACAGCAGTCTAATGCATTTTTTTTTTTTTTTTTTTTTTTTTTTACTTTTTTTTTCTTTTCTTCTTAATGGGGAATCACATCATCCAGGAATGAGAGCTGGCTCCTCTATGAAATTCCAGGCCCAACAAGTTCCAGAAGATGGTGCCAAAGCGTCTCACCTTGCTCAGCAGCAAGCTAAGCACCAAGAGCCTGAACTTAGGGGCCTGTGTCCTGCTCATTTCAGGCTTTCAGCCTCAGAACCTCACAGCTGCAACCTGTTCCTGCTGTTGTCCTCTAGGCCAGGTAGGCCAGAAAGGAAAGCAGTGTGTTTTTCTGAATGGACATTTACATTTCTGCTGAGTGCAATTTCTTTGTGGTCTTTGAGTTGTGGAAAAAGCACTACGCATGTTGGGTTCTTTCACAGAGAAAATGCCTAGAACAACACGTTGCCCCTGGTCCCAGGCCACGAGAAAGACAGAGGATGAGGCACCAGCACCTCAGAGATGAGTAAGCCTTGTAAAACGTTCAGAATATTTTGAGAGTACCCAGAAAGAGGGTTGGTATTTGCAGACCTCCAGAAAGATCCCCTTTGATTTCTGGTTCACGACTAATCTGTAGCTTGATCTGCCTTGATTTTTCCATATCAGAGCTATCCCAAATAGGCACCTGAAACACCTCAATATCAGCAAAACAGTTCAGAAGGGGAAGATAAAACAAATACTTTGAATTACTCTCAAAAGTTCAGAGCAAGAGGATGAGCACTGGTGTCCTTCTTGTGACAAAATGGAGCAGGTTGGCATTATTACTTATATGGTATTTTATTGTGTTTTTGCTTGCACACCAGCTCTCAGACCAATGGAGGTCTTGCTAAACTAACTAAGGAGACAAATGTAATGGAAAGAAAGGTCTAACTTGCAGTGCCATGAATCACATGTTTTCCTTGACTGTAGGGACATTCTTGTTAGCCCTTGTAAATGGCATCTCCTCCCTAGTTTTTTCTACTTTGGTAAAAACAGTCCTAGAAGCAGTAAACTGCAGGTCAGATCCCAAGCAAGAGGAGTCAGAGCAAAGGCTCAGGTCAGTGACTCAGAAAGGCAGTAGGAATTATATTGTTTTTTTTTTTTGCCATTTTTTGATTTTTTTTCTCTGTGAATTCACCTCAGAAAATTATTAGTGTCTAGATAGAGAGGCACCTCTCTTTTTAGATCCTGGTCTCACCTTACTTTCCTTTTTCAGGTTTTAAAGAGAGAATTGAGCTCCCTGACTGTAGCACGGCTCAGTTCCAAACAATTGCAAAATCTGATTTGTTATCCCCAGGAGATGGAGGATGAAGGCATGCTGCAATGCTACTGTGGGCAATCGCACTTTTATACAATAAGCAAATAGTAGAAGATACTATTAATCATTCTTGGTTTATCATTAACTCAATTGTAAAATCATTTATGAACAGTATTAATTGCAGAATATCTGTCTACGTAGGTTGCCCATTTTTAGACAAGCCTCCAAGGACTGTGGTATAATCCCAGATCTTGGATGGATAGCTGAGATGCAGAATAGCCCGTGTTTCCAGATCACTGCTGTTGCATCCTGAAGATCTCAAACTATAGTCTGGCAACACTATAAACCCTACTGGGAAGCATCTTGAACTAGACTGTTCAGTTTAGGACTGAGGTATTCAAGGAGCCTGGTTGCAATCCTGCCCCTTGGTCAATGCCTCTGTTTTCCCAAATGTAGTGTTAGCTCACGATGTCATCCTGCCAAACAAGAAATGCATGCTGAATGGGAAATAAGCCCACAAGATTTTTCACAATTAATTTTTTTTTTTTGCTGACCCTCTTTAAGATGCAGCTGAGATTTTTCATAGAGACAGAAATGTAAAGGGCATGCTTTGGGCTATTCCTTGGAAAGGCTCTCTACTGGTCTAGTTAGAGGTCCAATAATTAAAAGTGTCATGGCCCAGAGAAAAGATTGGCTAACACTGTAATACAATGACGGGGTATGATATCCTGACCTGCAGTGTGTACAGCTGGACTCCATGCAGGGGTTACCTGGGAATGTAACTCTAGCCAGAGCGAGTTCTTACTCAAATAAACTTTTACTTTTGTCCTTACATTTCACTGCTTTGCACTACATTCTCAGTGACCTTTTGCTGTCCAGTTTTTCTTTTTCTCATTCCTCTCTTTCTTCAAATTATTGAAAAGTCTACCTGATTTCTTCGTTTTTCTCACTTTGTTCCTTTCTTCTTACTCCCCAAGTTTGAGGTTGTACTGCTGTCCTAATTAAAGAAATACTTCAAAGGAAATCTTTGAAGTCACCAGTCCTTATGGGTCCGGAATCATTCCTTGCTTCTCAGGTAAATTTACTTAACTTCTAAACAACCATTTACTACATTTTTTAATACAAAAACAAACAAACAAACAAAAACACAACAACTACAAAAACAACAACAACAAACAAAAAAAAAAAACAACTCATGTTGAAGTTAATCTATAGAAAATCTATAGAAAATTCCAGGACAGTGCAAAACTAGGATTTTTTTTTCACTTGCACTTTTAAAACCTTACTTGGACCTGCTGCTACTCAAGCTCTACCTGCTCTATCTTTTGCACAGTTAGGATTTAATCTTTCTCATTTCAGCCATTATAATAAAATAGAATAAAACAGAATTTAAGTGCTCCTTCTATTTTTGTTTTGTTTCAGTTTCCCACTGTTATCCTAAATTCTGGCATCATATTGACCTTTCTAGTCATTTGTGAGATGTTATCTCAGTTATATATAGAGAAAAAAATGATGCCTTGTGGCTCTGATTGTACAAGTATTGTGCTTTTGCCCTTCCTTCCTTGCTCTATCAGAGGATACAGAGAAGGCAATCCTGGCACTCTTAGGAATCCTCACATCATGTTGGCACCTATGGATCTACTTCCACGTCATTACTGTACTTGAGAATCTTCAGACTTACTGTGGGTTTAAATTTTAGCTCCTAGAAACAGGAAAAGTGGAGGTAAACTGGATGTTTTTTTTTTTTTTTGTTGGTGTTTGTTTGTTTGTTTTTGTGTGTTTGTTTGTTTTTTTTTTCACACTGTGCAAAGTATAAGAATTATCTTCTGACTTCAGTAAACAGCTTAATGCACTGGGCTTGCAATACCTGTACAGTTCTGCTCTTTCCCTTTGGCACCCAGCAGGAACCTCTGACTTTTGCTCTGGATTGATGGGTCACTCATGCAAGTCCTGCTTCCCCACATGGATATGGTTTCTTGTTTACAGTTCTCAAGACCTATGGATTTGTAATAATTCCGTGAAGCTACCTGGGGATACAAACACTTGAGATACCATGCCACCTGTATGCTAATGTATGCTAATGTATGCTAACACACATCTCTAGATCTCCTTTTTAATATGACTGTTGGTGCTGTTGTCCTGTTTTTCTTAGTGCCTGATCAACACAAAGACTTGGATGAGAGCTTGATGACTAGCTAAGATTTAATTTAAATAGGGCAGAGGTGATACTTACTGCTGGGGAAAGCAACTTAAGACCCTGGTAGAGATTATGTCTTTTCCTGTTAATGACAAAGAGTAGTATCACATGAGTAATTTCTTAATTCAGAGATCAGCATTGGTCTGCTTTGTTTCAAAGTTTAATTAAGTATGAAAGTTATGAGGATCTCATCCTGTGGTAAACTTCAATACCTTATCTGGGCCTCTGGTGCCTCACATTGGGTCTCTGGAGTGTGGTCTGAGAGTTGACTTGCTCATGAATTCATTTTAAAATATGCAAATACTTGATTGCTTTTCACATTAAGCTGGTTTTCTGTGCATAGCTGGCACTTTCACAATATTAAGCAGAGATTTGTGTAGAAGAAAGGCATATTTCTTTTCAGTGAAATTGAAAGAAGTTTTGATTTTTATTAAACAAAATGGTAGTGGTTGTTTTGTGCACGGTTTTTGGCAATGTTTCTGGAAACTCTTGGATCTGTTTGACCTGAGTCTATTAACACTTAATGGTACAGAAGAGTACACATCCAATAACAAATGTCTGGTGCACCTTTCTCTTATAGTGACAAGATGGGAGGGAATTTGACCTTCTGACCCTCCTGCAGTGCACCTGCAGCCTGCCTAATTTAAGCACAGGAAATGTGTCTAAGTTTCAGGTACTTGGAAAAAGCTGCATTCCAAAAACAAGTGTTCCACTTCTCCATTACAATTAACAGGAAAAGGTAAGTGTCTTTGGTGGCTTCAGGAAAATCTGTTTGCCTAGCACAGGTTTCTAGATTAAGGTCTAATAAACTGTTCTTCAAGGAGGCCTTCAAAATGATTTGAAGAGGCCTTCAAAATTCCTGACACATGAGTTTTGAGATCCTGCTTTTTAGGGATCATAGGGATATCTGACCTTATGTTAATGGCATATCTTAAGTGCTTGAGAGATTGGTTGGACTCAAAGGTAATGGAGCTATAGTTTCATGTCCATGGAGCAATGCACAGAGCTCTGGCTCAAAAGGGAAGTCTGCCTTTGGAGGCATAAAAATCTAGCAATTTTGTTATGAGTCCTTGCTACAACCTTTGCCTTTCTGCCTTGAGGTTGCATGACTTGATTGTAGGGGACAGCTAAACTAGATCAGGCACAATGAGGGGGAAAGAATTGCAGTATAAGTTTCCCTATTGGTTGGTTTATCATGTTTCTTATTGAAGCTATCATATGTGACAGTCTGCATTTGGAGATGCACCTCTGACACACAATAGGTCTTTTTCTCGTGAATGTCTAAGAAGCACCCACTCCATTCTGGAGCTCTCTCAAGATGTGGCAACTTGTAAACAAGACCAAGAAGAGACAAGTAGAACAATGCCAATAACTGTTCTTTGTAGTTAATTTCTATAATAGGGCTTATTATTTCTTGTTTATCTCTGTTACAGAGACCATAGTGTTGGAGGTGCAGTGGGACGATGAAGGAATAAGGCCATTGTTATAGATCTCTCTAATTAGGAATTAATCTTGAATCATACTCCTTGGAGAGATCAGCTGTGTTTACATAAGAAACCACTGTGTTTACATAAACCACTACGGAGAATGCTCTAAATATAGGTAACTCTTGCCTTAAAGAGCTTACCTTCTATTAAAGACAGAGGGAGCAGGGGTGAGAGACAGGCTTCAGGAATAAGACAATGTTGAGTCAGTGTAACCTTACTCACTGCTGAAGAAGATGTCTGCCTTCATCATTGCCTTTTTCCCTTCAGCAGGGATGTGCAAGCTCCTCAGGTAGGTCTGCAAATCTCCATAGCCATTCTGCTCCTTCACAGGAAAAATTGTGAATAGGAACCACACGAATCGGCTATGAAAAAGTACAGAACCACTATTATGGAAGAGCGACTTGTGCAATGTACAACCAGCCTGGCTGACAGTGCAGAGCTGTGCCATCTGCAATAAACCAGCTGTGATGTCCGATGGGTTCCTGACAAATGCAGAATGGGGAGCATGGAGGCGCTGCCAACCATGCCTGGCTGTGGTCTTGGAGGTGTAAGCCAGCAGCCTCCAGTTACAGAGTCAAGGCCTGGAGGGACTTAGGGAGGACTCATGCAACTCCACGATCGTCAAAGTTAGCCTTGGGAAAGAAAGGGCAGTTGAGGCAGCTGAATGGGAGCTGGCTCAACACAGTTCCTACAAGGGTATGAAGGTGGCAAAAAAAACTCAATTCATATAAGACTTGCTAAAATTCTGTTTGCTTGTTCATTTGCTTGTGGCAGGCCAAATCAAACTGCAAGGGAAAGGGAGTGGTATTTTTGTTTTCTATACAATTAATCATTTCCATTGAGTCTTACTACCAAAGACAGCTATCCATATACCTTCAAGCAGAATGGAGATTTAAACATTGAAGTGCTGATTTAAATTCTGGAGGAAAATCAGTACAGCACCATAAAACCTTCTAGCAATTGTGCTTGTTTCTCCTTTGCTCTGAACCTCAGCCTGCACTCTGAGACACCCAGAGCAACTGTGGAAGCCAGCTGGGGCTTTGACCAGGAAAAAGCACTGTGTAGCACAATTGGTCCTTTGCACAAACTGCTGTTTGGCCTTCTGACCTGGCCACTCACCTGGTTGTTAGCTCAAATTAATTTAAAACTTGAAATCTTCAGAGTCCTGTTTGGCTTCTGGACAAAGCAAAGTTTCTTGTCCGGTTGATGGAACAGTCAGTCCTTGTTATTTTCATAGAAACTGCTGCTGTGGCTGAGAGCCCAGGAAGCAAGAAATGCTGTGAGAGGGCTGTGCAAGCAAAGCAGCAATGTCAGCAGTTGGAGATGCTACAGTTTTGGCAGAGGGGAGAAAATGATACTGGAATAATGGCAGGGCCTCATTGGGAATTAGGATTATTCCACAAAAGCCTCCCTTGCAACGGAGAGCTGAATAAACCAGTATCTGAAATCAGTCAGGCAAATGTTGAAAGTTGGGAATGGAGCTGAAATGCAGTAATAAATGCATCCTCTCCATTACAGGAGAGGAGAATGAATTGTGCTTGTGTTCCCTGCCTCAGCACACCAGGTCTTTGCCCTGTTATCAGTCAAGGCCTGTAGGTGTTGGGTGCTGGAGGGATGAGTCTCACCCTTAGAAGTCTTAAACTGACTCTCAGGCCAGCTCTGTTCATACAGGAAGGTGAAAACACATATCTTTGCAGAGGAATGCTGCTCAAATCCTTTGCTATTATAGAACTTGTCAGATGCATTCAAACCTCCCTCCTGGTTATGAGTGGAACCTGATTTTATGTAAGCGTGTTTCTTCCTGATAAGCGCTCAGAAAATAATCTGTGAGACCATATTCAGCCTGCAAGTCCCCAAAGGACTTGCTCTTGGCTGAAGTGGCAGGTTTTTATCATGTCCGCTACTTAATGTTTCTACTGTCTGACTATATGATGGAAGCTTTGTACTCAGGAGAGCACAAAAAATAACATTGAATTGCCAACACCATAAATAAATCTGTACTTACTCTCATATGTGAATCTGTTCACATTTAAATATGGACATTTGTACAAAGAACAATTACTTCACAGGCAGTCATACAAATAAAAGCCATTCTTGGGAATTTTTACGTATGCTGAATAACGAGGTGTAGGCATATTTGAACTCAGCAACTGCTGCAGATTCATCTTCAAGCTTGTAAACACTGTCATAGTAGCAGCCAGCTGTCTTCAGGGGTGAACTGTAGCTCAGGAAGGACAGCTGAAACATGCTGAGACCAATGCAGGGAAGGTACTCTACAAGTCATTGCCCAATTGCAAAGTGCTTTTAGGGACTGTTCTTGATGTTAAATTTACTTAAATTTACCGTTCATGTCAAATTTCCTAGGAAAACCATCTAAGGTATTTCTGCTAAAAAATGTACGTTGCTCACCTTTCTCAGCTGTGCTGTATTGAAGAACACTTACCTCTATGAGCATGTACATGGAGAGCAGTGTAATCCCAAGGTTATATACAATGAGGTGAGCCCTGAGGGAGAACGGAGGCCTGTTCTTCATGAACTTGTTGCCTAGCCATATGCACAGTAAGTATGCACAAGTAAGGAAAAATGTAGGAAGGTAAGAATCCAAAAGTAGCCATCCTCTAACCCTGGAATCTGAAAAGAAATGCATGCAGCAAGCAATTAAGAATGTTATAGTAAAGTACTGCTAAAATAAGGCAGGTTGTACAATGAAAAACATATGCAAAACATATGCAAAGGAAATCTGCTGTGCTCTGCTTACATTAAGAGCTATTCATTGCTATCACCTCCCAAAAGTGGCATACTAATTCACAGAATGTGTGGTGAAAACTGCATAAAATTCCCTAATAATTTAAAGTCACTTACATCTCCTCATTTTCACAGGAAAGAGAAAATGAAAAGAGGAAAAAAAACCTGTATGTATTTTCATTAATGTTTTAACTTAATTAAGCCTTATCTTGACTTGCTCAAGGGTCAGACAACTTGAAGATAGTATTATACTATTTTGATTCTGCATTTGTTACATATGTATGAAGGCACGTGATATTTGCTAGAAAACATTTATAAAAGGAGAGGATTTTTTAAAAACATTAAATATGAAGAACAAATAGCAAATGTTTACTTTGATGGTTATCAAAGATATTTGCTAGCATACGGGCTTGCTTTCTCATAGTTTTTGTTCCATTTGTTTGATCCTGAAATGCAATATTAAGGTCAAATCCTGCTTGCCTTATTCACACAAGTAATCTCATTGGCGGTAATCAGATAGTTCAGTGTATATGAGCAAATCCTAATCCTGCATGGCAATCTGGAAGCACCATTTCATTGTCCTATGAACAACTCTATGTCACGAGCAAATGTTTTTTTCCCCTCCTTTTTTTATTTTTCCAAGATAGAGGAAGATTTAGAGTTAATTTTTTACAACAACAATCTTTGGACATTTATCAAAGAGAAAGGCAAGTGGCAACATGGCTAGTTTTTCAAAAAGACAAATCTGTCAAGAGTTATGGAGTATATGAAGAAATAAGTCAATGAGAAGCTATTGTGTAGGTCACAGTAGTTCTTTCTGCTCTCAGAAACTGTTTTAAATTATTTAGATTTTTTTTTTTGAAGACTCTTTTAAAGAATTATGCTAAAAACTGTAACAGAAGAGAATGTGTTCACACTGGATGAAAAAACATTTTACTACTTTTTCAACCTGTGGTGGAAAGGACTAGGCAATGGATATTGCACACATCAAATGTGCCTTAGTGTTTAAAAAACTGTTGCTTGTGACAATTTTGCTTTATCATATTCTTTCCAACTATTCTTTCCACAGAAATATATAGAGAGATATAAGTAAAGTGAGATTTTAAGTGAGTTAGAATAATCTGCTAATGGAACTTTCTTTCTCACTAGCATTTCCCTCCACTTCCCACCTTGCTTCCATTGCAGTAGCTGTAACACATATCATGGATTTGGGCTCCACATGGGAAGTAAGGAAAGTCTTTCCTTTTGCAGGAAAGACTTTCAATAAGACCTGAGTTACTGTGGAAGTCCAGTGCTCTTCTGGCTTTGACTCTCCCTTCTGAACTCCTAAGAACCAGCTCCTCTCTCCAAAAGATGACAGGCATAGGATTAAAAGAGTTGTGAAAGCATGATTACCTACTGCAAAGCACAGCCCTTCCTTCAGGGCAGCTTTGCTTTGGTGTGCATTACCAAGCCAGAGTGCCTGTTTTCTGTCTTGATATCTCAGTGCCCAATTAAGGTCACTTCAGTGTGAGACTAAATGTTTCCAACAACCCTCTCAAAGGTCACGAGACATTTGGGAAGCTGTGGAATGGGTGTTTTTGAGGTGATTCTGTTCCCATATGGGCTATAAACAGGACACATGAGTCAGGACAGGTAAAGCTTGTGTGCACAAACGTTGATCTAGCATATGTTTTAGGAGCATAAGGTTTTGATTTATTTAATTGGTATTCTAAATGAAAGCAATTGTTTCAGCAAGACTGCTCTCTAAAAAGGATCCCCCCATCCAAGAACTGCAATATTTCATGCATAAAGGTTATTTGCACAAAGGCCAACTGGCATCAGATAACTAAATGGTATATTTGCTCAAAGAGGAAAAATAATTGGAAGAGATAAGAATACAAAATAAACTAAACAGCATTAAATGCTGCCCTAGTATGCCCTCAGAAAGCTTTTTCACTCGTGCTGTGAGTGGCCACAAGCATGTGGCCTGATCTACACAAAAGCAGAACTCCTTGTGCTCGTTCAGGTCAGCATATCAAATATTTTTAAGATCTGTACAATTTAATTTTCAAGTGTCTAGAGAAATTTTAAAACTTATTCCCGTACTGATTATTTTCCAACCTGACCTTGGTACCTTGAAGGGTAGGACAGTTATTAGCAGAAAATGGTTTATCAAAAGCAGCCAGAGGATCCTGACTGTTCTGTTTCCATGTTCACTTTTCCTTGAATGCCAAGAAGAGGGAGGTTTTTATGTGTTGGGAAAGCAGATGAAGGGGAGTGTATTTTTAAAAAAAACAGGTTATCAGAAGAAGAAAAGAGACCGACAGTTACTCTGTGTTAGGTTACTCTGTGTTCTTGTAATATAAAGGTACAGTGTTAATGTAAGAAAGCATTATTTTTACTCTGCTGAACCCTCACAGCATCTAAATTTGAGATCAGGGCAGTGAATAAAGTCAGAGTGTGAAAGTGCTGGACAACAACCATAGAAAGGAGCAGGCGCACCCAAGCTCTGGTTGCTCTGTGAATAAGCTCATTCACAGTCACTGGCCACGATGTGCTAGACCCCTGGGGTGAAATCTTGGCACCTTTGAAATGAGTGGCAAGCCTCACAGGCTCTTTAAATGTATCAGGCTTTTATCAGTGAGGTTTAGAAACATTTTGATTCAGGTTGCTGTATAGCTTTGGCTGATTGGTGTTTGAGAAAATTCAAATGTTGTCTGAGTAAATTCATACCTTTTCAGATGCTGAGGGTAGGTGGCTTTGTACCAATGCTTTATTACTGTTTATATTCAATTGACTACAGAAGGAGTGATTATTACTTTAGCATAACTTTGTTAAAATATATCTATTCTCAACCACTTCTGCTTCTTTGGCAGATTAAAAAAAAAAAAAACAAAAAACAACTCATTAACTAGATGTAGCTCCTGTAATTCAGTATTCCTTAATTTTGCATAATCATATAATATCCTGACTTGGATGGGACTCACAAGGATCATCAAGTCCAACTCCTGGGTTCACACATGACCACTCAAAAATCAAACCATATGTCTGAGAGCATTGTCCAAGTGCTTCTTAAACTCCAGCAGGCCTGGTGTTGTCATCATTGTTCGGGGAGCCTGTCCCAGGGCCCGATCATCCTCTCCATGGAGAACCTTTCCTAACATCCAGCCTGATCCTCCATTGACATAGCTTCATGCCCTAACACCAAACAATACTCTGTAGAACATGAAGGCCCTGTAAAAATGTTCTTTTTCAGAACAATGTAGCAATTTCACTCTTTCTCATTTTGTCCTGAACCTAAATAAACTCCAATCCAGAACAATATGTACCAACATCACTTTGTAAGACCACTTCTTATTAAGAGATGCAACCAATGGGCATGTATGTGGCTTCTGTTCCCTGAACCAAGGGACTTGGTCTGTTAGGTCAAAAGCAAATTTTAGGTAAATTCATTTACAAAGTCTATCTGGCAGCAGAGAACAAAGACACAAAAGAGGCCTTTATCTAAATCAAATTAATATCTTTGATAGCACACCCCTTTTTCTAGTGGTGTAGTACTGCAGGTTGTGCAAACTACTAATGTGAGCAGAGAGAACCTCCAGGAATTAGTGCCTGGCTTTCTGTCTCCTGCTGTGGCCTCAGCCACACCAGGTAATAATAACTACAACCAGTATAATAGCAACACTATTTCAAGGGTTGCTACCTCAATTACAAACCACAAATGTAGGATTGATTTTGAAAGAATGCAGCATTGGTATCTCTCTTTTTAAGCCACCTTGCTGCTGAATTAAATGGGTATTGTGGATGAAAGTTGGGGGAGAGAAAGAATAAGAATGTTTTGTTGGCTTTATACAACTGGGGAAGCTCTCAAGAATTCATTAGATTATCATTTGTGGTGTCATTCTATCCAATTTAAAACTGTTTGCAGTCTACCATGAATTATTTATGTATATAAATATACTGGAGGGAGCTTTGCTACTTATGAAATCACTATACCACCAATTCCAAAGAAAAAAAGCGTGGTGAAGAGGCATGGACAAATGCTATCTTCAGCACTGATGTCTGGAGAGGCATGGTAATGTACTTGGCAAGTATTACAAATAATACTTAACTAAAGTGCTTTCTAAAAGTCCACAGGGATCTGTGTGGGATTCTGCATTGGATTAATTACAGCTGGTCCTTTCAAACAATGTGGTCAGGACCAAGGAGGAAGGAGGAATGAAAGAGAACATCATGTTGATTTAAAATTAAAATAGTAGTACTTATACACTTGTCATCACAGTTGTTTGTTAATAAAATGAATTACTGTAGAAACTATTAATTAGACGAAACCTACTCTGTCTGTTTTAATCGCTTCTGCTGCAGTTCCCAAGCTATTCACCATCTTTTCACTAGAAAACTTTCTTTCAAGCTTCACATCTACTGCAGAAATGATAGTAGATATTTTGTACTCAGCCAGACAGCTAAGAAAAATGAAAATTTCTTGGTTTTAAGAATGCTACTTATACTTTTCCTTGTCATCCTAATGAAGCATGAACTGTTTGTGGGACCAAGAGGATATTACTGCAACAAAACCATATTTCCACAGGCAGCAATATTGGCATTAAACACAGAGCAAAGTTTGCAGGGCTATTCCTGAAGTTGGACATGCTGAATAATGTTTAAACACAGGCACAACACAGCAACAAGATGGCCACACAAGGTCCTTCCCTGAGGACTGGGTCTACTCTCTAAGCTCCTCTCTTACTTTTTACTTCAGTTGCTTGGCCCTATCCCACCTTGCCATAGCCCTTCTCTTTTTTATGCGGTCCTACCTCATTTTTTTGCCGCTGGCTCTAACTATTGGCACAACTATTACCCCTTTCAGGCCTAACAGATCATGAGGCACGTCCAAGCTCTGCTAAACCAGCACTATAACAATTCAAGTTATTCTCATCCAAACTGTTTCAGAAAGCAAGAATAGGCAGTAGAAGGGTGTATTTATTCTCTCATACTGTCTACCAGTTTACTGAAATTTTGGATGTCATCCTGCAGGGTGCTGAGAGCACTTTCTTGCTATTGTGCTGAGCGTGCTTCTGAATTAGGCTATTTGCTACATAGCAGGACCAAACAAGGACTAGATTATTAATCAGCATCAATCCCCAAACAGAACTTCCAAGTTTCCGCTTTCAGAAAAATCAAAGATTTTTTTTTTTTAATTTCTCTAAGGACATAAAGTTGAAATCCTATGATATTTTAAGAATCAAAGGGCTCTATAACACAGAGATTTTTGTATTTTTTTTTAAATCACCTTCATTTCTTCTTTCACCTTCAGTATAACTTGTGACTAGTTTTAATTTGTATTATAGATAATATGTCAAACAGTCAAAACAAAAAGCATTGTTTTTCTAAAAGCCTGGTGCTTTGACAAATTCCCTATGATAACGGTGTGTTCCTGCAAATATCACGTTTCTGCCTAGTTCACAGTTTTCAATGAGAAATTATTCATAAACAAAATTTTGACTGCTTCTAATTACCAGAATATTTTTGAGTGGTAATCAGGTCACTGTTTCCTAAAAGGGCTATAGGTGAAGCAACTTACCCCGAGGTCCAAACATATAGTCCACAAACTCATTTACTTCCTGGTCAAAAGCTTTCAGATGCTCCTAAAAAAAAAAAAAAAAAAAAAAAAAAAGACATATAACAACAACATTATCTCATAGCTCACATAGAAAATACAATAATAAGAACAGAGTAATTTGGCAAAGAGCATGTCGTGATGCTTAAGTATTTCCAGGGTATGACACATCAGGTCTTCTGAAAAAAAAAAAAAATCCTCTAAAAAAGAATTTATTGAATAGAGGCCTCACTACTGGAAACAGTGCCAAAACTCTAGAACTCTTTAGAAAGTGAACCAGGTCTGAAATGAGGTTTTATTAATGAAGTAAAAGCCATACAACAGTGTGGAAGTAAACAGTGAAGTAAACTCTGCACCGCAAATCCATCTGTGATGAATGTCATTTTCTCTCTGGTAAAGATATTTTTTTGTTTGTTTTTTGTTCTGCTTCCTCAACTAAAATCACTTTTTGTAGAGAGGATCTGGCAATTGCTTTGGTAAGTTTCACAAAGCTGCATGGCTATCACCAGGCTAATAACAGCACATGAGCTGAATATATTGACACTTTGCTCTTAAAGAGGGAAACCTTTGGGGCGAGCCAGCTAAGATTTCACTAAATGAGGCACTGAGTTCTAAAGACAAGTCAGCAGGAGATTTCAGGCCTCCAGTAATGACGTTCAGGCCATGCAGGGAGGCAGGAAAAGGAGGAATTTTACAGAGACTTTGTGTTTTGAAGTCTAAGCCAATGAAGCTGCTAAGCTGGCAGGCTCAGTGCTTTTGTGACTATTGGTGACTGAGTTGGGAGCTAAGCCTTGACCGGCGCAGGCCTTCCCTCAGTCAGATGTGGTGGCCTCTCCAAAATAACCTCCTCCCAGACCCTGGTTCTGGGCAGCTGCTTCCTGCATGCTGGTGCATGAACAGCTCTTTGCTCCAAGTCTGGCTTCAGCCAGGTTCTTCCTCTGTGCTTTCCAACAATTCCTTCCTGTGCTTGATAAATCAATTTCAGCACTTAGCAAATGCAGCCAAACTGAGGAGAAAGACGGAGACAAAGAACATCTCCATGAGGCAAGAGCTGCCAAGGGCTGTGTGCGCCTTCAAATGCCAGATTGTCTTCATGACATCTTGGGCTGCAGCTTCCATTAGCAGATTTGCCTTTTGAAGAGCCACATTTGCACCCTGACAAGTACAGGGGCTGGGTTGTGGTGTGGGCAGGGAAAAGCTGCTGGCCCTCCCAAGCCCCATGTGTTTCTTCCCCTCTGAAGTTGGTCCTCAGGATGCTCAAAGTGAACAGCTTTTATGTGAATATATAGGTACAGCTGAGACCTCCTAGGGAGCAAGAGGTTTTGCAGCAACCAAGGCTGCAAAACTGCTTCTCCAAAATGCTGCTGTGTTCACATTATCTTAGAAAAATGCACCACCATCACCACAAAAAAAAAAAAAATCTTTTATTCTTCCTAAAAAAAAATAATGAAGCAAACACTCAAAAAGCATAACAACAACAGAAAGGAATCAACAAACACCAGAAAGGAATTGCTCTGAAAAAGGAGAGAAGGAAAGTGATGATTCGTGATACTTCATACTTCACAGCACTGAAGAAACTGAACCAGACTTTAGGAAGTTGTCCTGCCTGCTGGCTCTGGGAAAGGGTGTTTTCTTGGCTGCAGACAACCCCCTTGGCAGCCAAAGGATGCCTTCAGTTGTAGGATGCCACATTGCTTCCAGGATGTGCAAAATATCTGCTTCCATTTTTACACCTTCAGCTATTCAGCTCATCAGCTAACATTTCATGGTGTAGGTATTGCCATTTGGGCAACGCCATTTTTTACTGTTCCTCTGTGACTTGCCCACTTCCTGCATTAGTATGAAACTGAGGTACTCATGTATTTGGTGTTTTTTTTTTTAGTTTAGTTTGTTTGTTTTGTTTGTTTTGTTTTGTGTGTGTGCGTTTAGACTTAGGAGACTGCTTTGTAAAAAAATACTTTAATGGATTCAAATGTCTTGTAGTAACGAGCATTCAAAGCTACTTGCTTTCATGGTTACTTTATATAAGCACATCTTACACCATGTCAGGAATAAAGTAATAAACCATGTGTATTCCTTTTATATTTAAATTCTGTAGACAAATCTACTCTAGGCTGCATTTAAATGGAAATTCTAGGCTGACTTCTACCAGTTAGATGGAGGAATAGAAATTGTTGAATAATCACTAAGAAGGAAGAGCAGAATGAAGATTAAAAAAAAAAAAAAAAAGCTTGTACCAGCTCCCAACTCTGCTCCACTCTACCTTAATTAGCAATTGATTGATTCAATGTCTGGTTTGCTTTTCATAGGTCATCTGAGAGTAGAAATTTTTATAAGAGGCACAGCAAAATAAATAAATATACTTTAAAATGACCCAACATTTGCCTCCCCTTTAACTCTCCTGCAACTTATTTTAGCTTACAGGAAGAAAAAAAAAAAAAAAGTTGTTTGGCTGTCTTACAGATTTACAGTGTTGTTAAAGATGATATATTTGTTTATATACTAAACACTAGTAGTAATATTTTGGAAAAAATATTCTTAGTTTTAAAAAGTTAGGTTGCTTTGAATGACTGCTCTGTCACCTTTCTTTGGTGCTTATTAAGAAAGCTCTATGGAGCTTTCTCTATGTCTTCAAAAGACTAGACTGTATTTCTGGACTTTAGAACATGCCCTTAATAGTTCCTGCCTCTGGACAGGTTAGATGAAAATGTCTTGCTCAACATGGTCAGTTGTATTTGTAAAGAAAAGCAAATAAAACCAGTCTGAACAAAAATACATGCTCTGAGAACTCAATGCTCTCTGGAAAATCACTGTAATAGCCTTTATCAATGAAAGCATTTCAGCTACAAGGCTAAAGATTAATGTGTGTTTCTTGATTTTCTGATTTTCCTTCTGTTGTACAGGACATTGCTCTTGTCATTGGGAATGCTAGCAGTTTGGCAGGACTAGGACAAATTAGTGGAAGATCTATTTACCTACACCAACAAAAAAACATATTAGGTTATTCAAACAGATCAAAGCACCCAAGAGGAAAGATGGGGAGGGAGAATAAAGCCAGTGATGATAAAGCAACATGGAGATTTCTTATGAGTTTCAGTATTTTTAGAACAGAAATGGGAATAAGTGAATAACTTGTTTAATCTTTTGGGAGACACTGAAGAGGAATGACCACCAACAGGACAGGAAACCCACCTAAAGTGGATCTCTTGGCTGCTGTCACAAACCCTTTAGAATGAGAATTTGCTCCCAAGTATGGGGTCTCTGTAGCCATGAGAAGTCTACGGACTGGTATTCTAAAATTAAAGGCTCCTTGAAATTCAGAGACAGCAATACTGGATTTTCTGAGATGGGGTGAGGAACTTACACTCAAAACATTCTTTGTGTGCATAAAGTACTATTACAGAGAATAACTTTGACTGAAATACAAATAAAAGGTAATTCTTAAGTATATGCATTGTGAGGGTTTTTGTTTGATTATGTGGATTTTAAATCACTTTCTGAAATAAAGGTCCTACAGATGAGTAAACTGTATTTAATCTTTCTTACACTGTCTGGAAATCTTTTTCATGCAAATGCTTGGAATATCAGTTAGTATCTCAAAAATCCAAGACAATTTCTTACACAGCTATGCAGAAACTAATACACTCTATATGCAGAGATCTCATTTCAGGCTTTAAACAAAAAACAGAAGTAGGCGTCAGCTTCTTCTTGCCCATACAGCTTCTGGAAGTAAATGTGATATTTGAAACAACCATGACAGAAAACATATATATTAAGTGTATGGTGATTTCTTTCTTATTATTTAGATGACATCTTTTCTTTAATTCCTTCAAGACTTCTGCTCCATAGTCGGCTACTGAGCACTAATGGAATTAATCAGAATTTATCAGCTTGTTTAAAGAAAACAATTTTAGATGCCTGCCCATACATGAATGGCCAAGTATTAAACAAGTAGTGGAAAACTGTAGTGTTGACTCCAGAATGGCTGCAATATGGGCTGAAATGAAGCAAAGAAAAGGCTAAAATAAGTCTCAGGACTGCGGTGTAACTGCTCACAAAATGAATTATCTTTTTTATTGCTTGGAAGATTTAAAATTAATCTGGAACAAAGATGTGCAATGCGGGACAATTCTTCTTCAAAAGATTGTTTCAGACCACCTTTTAGGTTTTTGTCTTCATCTTTTAGGATTTCTGTGTTGTATCTGTAGGGGAAAGCAACAGACAGATGAAGCTGAAGGCAGAAAGATGAGTCAGAGGCTTCCATGGGCTATGTCACTAGAACAAGGGGGAAGTTAAATGAAATTTGGTGACAAGACATCCAGAAGCTGACTGTTGCTATAAGCAATTTATAATTAGCATATGGAACTGACTGCTAGATAATTTCACTGAAAGTAAGAACAAGCTGGAGTGAGCTCAAGAGGCAGCAGGGTGGGGGAGGACTGCCACTTCTCCCAATGGATAGACAGGAAGGGAGGCAGGGAGGGAAGGAACAAAATAGCTAGAAAGGAACCTATCTTAGATCTTCTTTAGCACTTCAGATGAATTGTTTAAAGAAGCAGAAACTGGACTCTTTATTTGATATGGTAATTTTGGAGCTCCATGTTCTGGGACATTCAGTCAACACTGATGACTGACTAAGATTAAGGGCTAGCTAGCATCACAGAAACTTAATCAGCCCAGAAATACTGCCATAGCTCCTAGGAGAAGCACAGCCCTCTGACTGTGATAAACTGTGCTGGCTGAAGGACTATTTTGTCAATGCAAGATGCATCCATGCAGGGTGTGTTTGCTAGTGCAGCAATCCTGCTGTTTCATTCCTTCCTAACAATTGGCTTTGCAAAGCCAGCAGAATTTTGTAACTGTATTGTCCTAAGAAGGAATGTACTTCAGTGCAACAGCAGTGACCCAAGACAAGCAGTACTGCAGGAAGGAAAGTTCTGCTGGTGATCCAGGTCCAGAGTGGTGCCCATGTAATACATGAGCAATGTTTGGTAACGCTCCAGTTTTGCAAAAGATAATCAAAAATGA